TACCTGGACGGAAACATCCTTCATCGAGATATTTCAGAGAACAATATAATAATAACCAATCCTGAAAAGACAGATGGTCACTCTGGCATGCTAATTGATCTGGACCTTGCCAAAGAAGTTGGAAGTGAGCGAAGTGGTGCACGCTACCGGACTGGCACAATGGAGTTCATGGCAATTGAAGTGCTTCTTAATGTCGACCATACTTACCGGCATGATCTTGAGTCTTTCTTCTATGTGCTTATCTGGCAGTGTGCCCGTAACAGCTGGAGAAAACTAAATGAGCTACAGAGACAGAGACAGAGACAGCCACAAGACAGCTTGCTGAGAGAATGGTATACTGGAACTTATGTGAAAATTGCAACTTATAAGCGAGGCAACATGGAAGCAGGTGGATTTGAATTGGTTCTGCAGGAGTTTCCACTGGAATTTGAGTGTGTCAAACATCTCTGCAGGATCATACGAGGTGTGCTGTTTCCTTATGGGAAGGAAGGAATGATTGTTGGAACACCACAAGACCCAAAAATACTCTATGATCCTATTATTAAGGCGTATGATGATGCGATAGCAGTGATTGAAGCTTAATATGTTTAATGACTACTCTGTTATGATGTATAAGTATTGTTTATGTTAGTTAGCCTGCTTAATGTGTACTGTCTGATTTATACCAGTTTGTTTCTCATAGTTCCTCTTCTGCTTCATCATCACATGTATTTCTGCTTGAAGTGCCTGTAACCCAACAGAGAAGTCAATGATGTCAGGTCTTTTCATTCTGCATGAAATTCTTTGATCAACTCTTCACAACCTGGAATCAGGCCACTCTGCTGTTCCCAGGTAGGCTCCCACACGATGTGGTACTCCAGAATTGACTTGCCCTCTGCAGATCTGTAAGTCCAGTATCTTTCTGATCAGCCACTCCTCACTGGTCACACCACCATGTTTAACTGGGGTTGAAGAAGGTTGATCCTGTTTGTGGAGAGACACAGGTATGAGTATCATGAGAGGAGGCTGTTTTGCTGAGTGTACATGTACAAGAACTTCAGTCAAGCTCTTCAGTATTGAACTATCATACAAGGCAACTTTCAGGAACAGGGGTTATCCCTGGGGCTTGCAGCATTGGGACTATGTGACGATAGTCAGAACATCATAGGCATAAGATAGTAGTATTCATAATAATAACTAGCTAATATATGATGATAACTATGAAAGGAAGGGGGCTGGGGCCTGCCTGGATTATATAGCACTGAGAGTGGCAGGTTGGCAGCACACCCTCCGTGAGCCACGGAGGCCCCATGATAAAGTTAACTAGCTCTTGCACTGGCGTTTTTTCCCCTTCACCAAAGGAAGCTATTTACTCCGTAGAGAGGCAAAGTGTACATCCATGTCTAATCTTAGTATCTTTAGCAAGAGACCAACATTTAAAAAAAAAAAATTTATGTTATCTAAAGTTATCATAGGTTAAGCAAATATTATATATATACATATATATGTTGTAGATGTTTCACTTACGCATCTGTATGTAGTGCACATACAGATATGTACTTAGGTACGATGCAGACCTACATATATGTGCAGGGCGCTATGCAATACAGATGCTGATGAAGGCAAGTTTGACACAATGTAGGAGAGCTCGCAGTGTAAATTTTTGATGAAGAATATCAAATTCGTACGTTCGTTCAGGCTAGCTACGCTATATGTGGGCTATCTCGATCACGTGCAGCAGGCGGAGCGTAACAATTGGTCAGGGCTGGCTAACATTTGATGCCATAAGGGGTCATGTTGTCTCTTCTCGGGTTTTCATCACATAATAGTTTCTAGAAGCAATTTGCTTGATAGCTTCAACGGTTGTAATTTAGATTCAATCGAATTGACAAGTTTAGAGTTGCCTTTTACTTCTCATAAAAATTACTTCTCTTAATTTCTCTTGTAGATATATTCTTAACTTAACTATTTTAAACTTCGCACACCATAACTAACCTCATCTAATGTCAATAATAATATTTTATTAAACACAAAAATGACAATTCAATTACAAAACTGAAGTTATAACTAGTTTATTACACATTGTCTTAATTAATAATTTCAGGTTTTATCAAAAAAATTTAAAATTTACTTTCTTGGCACTTTTTATTATTATTAAACTTTGATTTGAAAAAAAAAAAATTATGTTCATGAAATTTTCAAAAAGATTTTTTTATGTTTTTGAACAATTTTTAAGATCTTTATCAGATTCATGATAAAATGAAATATGGAGTATAATTATAATATTAGAAAGAAGTTAATATTAAATATAAAATTCTAATGTTATTTATTCTTTTTATAAACTCAGTTATCTAGATGATTCATCTCATAGTGAAAAGTATATTCAGCAGTAAAAAAAAGCCAAAGACATGTTGCATTTCTGTTTCCCAAATAATAAGTGAAAAGCAATATTCAACATCAGTCAAACACCATGACCTTTCTACTTAATCTCTGAATCAGTGAATTGAAACATCTCATGTTCTTTACCTCGAATCATAGCAGTTATCCTATGAATATCTATCCACACATACTGAGAAGCGGAATTTTCCAACCGGATATGATGTGTCTTGGTATGAGACAAGCAGTCCAATGAGTCTACATATTTCTCTGCATTTATCTACATGTGCCTTTCCTGCGGCTGTACGTACACATTCACGAAATACCGAGGATATCCTTAAAGCTGTCTCAAGCTCTTCGTTTCTGCAATCTGTAGGGCTTTAGGACCCTGGTCCTCTCTCCCAAAAAGCATTTTGTGTCGCAAAATATATATCTTCTCCCTTGAAGAACTATTGAAACAGGTTCTTGACATACTTCGTATAATGTAGATCTACACCTGTGCAATCTTGCCGTGTCAGAGTTTGAAGACGTCAGACTAAGAAACGCAAAATGATAAACAAAACAATGCAAGGGCAGGCAACGGTGCAAAGAACCAATTCATGTTTAGTCTTAGCTATGGAGACAAGCGGATCGGCTATCGGGAACTCACAGCAACGAGATGAAACCGAAGGGCAGAGATTTTTGAAACGGTAGAAGGACACGCTGTGAGACGACAGAACGAGGGACCTCGGCAGGGGCTATTGAGCGGGATTTGTAGATATTTTTGCGAGTTCATGTCAAGATACTAATTCTTATCTTTATTTATTATTATTATTGCGCTTTTGATCTAGATATATAGATTTGGCTAAATCGTTTACATGATGATATCTCGCAGCAATAAAGTCACGGCGGAAATGACAATGGAAGGGTTACTCGTTTCTCTCCTGAACAGCAAGATGGATGCAATTATTTAATTTCAGATAGCGTCGGCGATCATGGACAGTTCGAGATGAACTAGGACAGAAAATGCTGATGGCTGAATCTGCATCCAATAGCCCTTGAGAAATGTCCCTTCAAACAAACTAAACGTAACCTGGAGGCTGATGGTTCATCAATCCTTGATCCCAACTTTTCTCAGATCAACGGCTGTGAAATAATACAAACCCTGATATGTCAAAGCGTGTGAACGATGTGTTAAAATAAGTCCTCCGTACAAATCTTTTTCAACCATTCCGTGCTCTTCTTCCATTCTCTTATCAGGGTTTTGTCAATGGTGCGTTTCTGCCGTCCGGCTGCCTTTGGTTCTTGGAGAGTTACCAAGCCACTCATCACTTCAAATGACAGGGGAAATATCCATATGAGTCCATCCATCTGCAGGCTGTTATAGCACCAGACCGCCAAGTGTTGCCTTAGCGGTGGCTGAAAGCCGAGGAGATATATTTTCCTGGGAACCAGCTGCACAGCATGCTTGATAAAAGCAACCAAGATGGTTTTTTATGATGATGGTAATAATACAATATCAGGGGAGGAGAAGGTGACGTCCATGGAACGAAACTTGTCGTGTCTAATGGTAGGTATGTATTGTACCAATCGCCTAACAGGTCAACTCGGCCGCTGCAAGCTACAAACCAATGGCTGGATCTTCAGCCTGAAGCCACTGCATGACAACGTGATCGAATTTTGAACATTCCATCCCCAAAGATGTGGGTTCCAAGAGGCTGGATGATGGGATTGCATATCCGAAAGAATATAGTGATCCCAAACCACGGCTCCACCTCGCTGTGCCCTGTGCATTATTTACATACAGTGGTCTCGAATTCAGCTCAATTTTTGTTCTACAACTTACCTGATCATCTCTTTCGCCTCGCTCCTTACGGGCCGTTTCCCTTTTATTCCTAATCCCACCTGTTAACTATGGTGTCAGACGTCAATTTCCATTGTGTATCTAGGACATTGATCCTTTTGGCACTAGTTCCCGAGCCATTGAATTTGATCTCTTCTTTCCACGGAGCAAATTTTTAGGACCGTTCCCTTGTTGACTGGTTGTGCGATTGTTAGCGATCCACCATGCTCAATTGTTACTCCGTGCAACCTGTTTCTGACGCCATGCTCCAATCTGTGCCACGTGGACCTTGAATCTCAGTGTCTATTCCCCTGGTGTGTACCCAAGAAAAGGATTTAGAGCTTCTATATGCTCCTGAAGTCTCTGACTTTAAATGGAGATGTGGATCTCCTTCCTACATCTGTGCTGTTGTGTTACTTCACTCCGTGATGATCAAGAGAGATCTGACACTGAAAGCTGGCATTTAAGTGAGCCCAGGGCGCTGCTTGGCTGGAAACTGCGTGCAGCCGTTCAGGGCACCCACTACTTTGGCTGTTACTCGTTACAAACTCGTCCTCTGTTGGCGTCTCACACGAGATTCTGGATTGCATTTATACGTATATGTGACTGGCTACATAATCCTGCTTTTGATGCTGATATTAGGAGACATAAACCCTTGTCTCCAATAAAAGCCTGAAGGGGTTCATATTAGCTGCAGAGACATGCCATGACTTCAGTTGCTTGTTACCTGGCAGCATTTAATCCAGCAAGGGAAATGCGTTCAACACGTGGAACTAGTCAAGCTGCTGGATAGAAAAATAAGAAAAGCAATGAATTTAAAAACATGAAAGAAGGAGTAAGAGTAACAGAAGAAAGTGAGCTGAGTAGTCACTGCGCCCTCCATGTTCGCTTCTTCCACGCTCAACATTTAGCCGGGAGTGCCTTCGACGGTCGTGGCAGTTTTGGCCAGTTTAACCTCCGCCTTGCGTCTGCGAACAAGCCATTCTCCGTTCTCTTCGCTACCTCTCTCTGTCCTCCCTTCCGCACCAAGGTCTCAACTCTAGACGCCAGACAATGCACCGGCCCCAAATGTCAACACGGCTACCATCTCCTTAATCAGGGAGTTTTGAGGGCTTCATCCCCAAATCAGCGCCAGAACCGATTTGGGCTCGCAAAAGTTGGATATGGCCATCTCTACAAGACCAAGGATGACACAGAGGTCAAGGTCCCTCTGACCAAAACGACCGCGACGGTCATGGTGAAGGAAGACAAGGTGTGTTCATACCGTTGCTATATCAACCCTGTCCAGTCGTCATGAAAGGCCATGGAACTAACAGTCAACTTCTCCGTTTTAGATTGTTTATCATATAGAGCTTCCAGAATGCTATCACCTTGTCAACTAGGGCTGCTGTTAAGCTCACCGCCAATTCAATATGGTGTCCTTGTCTCGTGGGCAGACTATGTCGGACCTGACCCCATGAAGTCCTCCACCTTGATCAAACGGCTCAACAAGGGTGAAAACCCAAACGTAGCAATTGCTCAAGAGTTCCCAAAGTGGAGAAAGGTTGTTGGTAGAGTATTGGTAGGCAATTTTGAAGAGTACCTAGGTGACGATCTCTCCCTTTGGAATAAGATATTGGACCTGAAAGAAGTGAATGAAAGTTTGAAATGAAGGTATCAAATGGCTTTCGTGTGGAAAGGAAATTCGAGAGGGGAACGGTTCAATGAACGTACCTAAAAGATTATTGTTTGGAGAGAAAAATGAAGAAAGGAGCTGGAAACGAATCTGACAACTAATTCATAGTTATTCCATAGCACGTCTGGGAGATTGATGGCATCTCAAGTCTTTTATCTTCCCTACACTCTCAACTCGCCATACCTGTATCTTCCTAGTTTGCTGAACTGTTAATCTTCAAGGACCCGATCATCCTGATGCTTGCCGCAAGTTTTTTCTTCGTTACCATTTTGCGACAGAACTCGCCGTATGCCAGTTACCAACATGTCTACATGTTGATTTTCATATTTCCTGTCGTACTCAGGGATTCCACTAAGATAGGCGCTGCAGCTTTGGATTCGCCTCTCCGGACTGCTTTTCTGGGGCTTTTCTTGGGCCCATTGCGGTTTTATCGGATCCAATGGTGTCAATGAGCATTTCCTTCTCGACATTTTTGCCCGTCTTCGGTATTTCGGCTCACGAGAAATTGAGTGTGAGCATTGTGGATCAGTACCATTGCACGTTCAGTCCGGACTCCAGTGATTAACAACGCCTTGATTTTTTTTGGCCCGTGTTTGAACTTGTCCCTGCTATGGTTATCCACATGTGGCAATGGCCTGGCTTATCCATCCCGTTTCCTGTCCTTTAGAATATTTGCTTAGCTCTGAGGGCATTCCTTTTGGTCTGCGGCTCTATCAACGTTGGGACATCTTCTTCCTTCACTTTTGAAGCAGAGCGTCGACAAAGCACTGCACAGCATGGTTTCACTTTTAGCTCTGTAACTGCTGAAATGAAGTGTGTGACTCTTTGCACAGATCAGACCCGGCAAGCCTATGAATACCACCGTCTGGATGAGAATGGAAGAGTAACTGCGGAGGTAAGATTGGGTGATCGTGGGAAGTGACTCCGATGCTCTGAAAGAAACTTTCTACCTTTGTACCGAGCGAGTAAGAGCTAAACCCATACGGTAGTTACCCGGGATTTTTACTACTGAGATAAAAGAATTATAACCGTCAAGCAGAGAGGTGCAGATCAAGATCGGTTCTGAGTAATCATAGGCTATGTAATTTCAAATATTGCTTCGTTTTAAGGCATGGATGGGTGTGGCTTCATTCCACGAAGCCCACACATGGTGGAGATGGCCGCTTAAAGGCATATCTTATGTAAAATGATTCATCGGTCTATCGCATATTTTTTGTATGTGACCTTCATTCTCTGGGTTGATATTCGTGATTCCGGTAGAATAGTAATTCCAAGCAAGCGACTTCTCGCCCAGGGTAGGCTTAGGCGTTTACCCCTGATTACTGTTAACTTGCACGAGGCTTGCCATCACTAGTTTCCGACTTCCAAATATCCAAATGCCGACCTATTAAGTTAGAGCACTGACTGAAAAAAATATGGGATTAATTATTTCCACTGCACCTCAGCTTGTGACATCATAGCCGGCCTCTATTTTATCCTTTGCTCGAGTCGATAGGACTTTTCGTGTGTCTTGGGTGAAAAATGAAAAGAAATTAAAAGTTCGTAATGGATGCATTCCTAATAACTCTGATCTTGACATAATATTGCGTGTTTCCCTTTCGTACATATCCGTTCTTCTTTGACCTCTCACTCTGTAGTTTCTTAACCTTGGAACTCGTGACTTCGAACCCTCATACTCTAACTCGGCTGTTCACAGTCTAGCACTAATTGCCTCCTTCGACAGCGGATGCTCCGGCCTGACTCTCCAACGCCTTCACATGCTCTTCGATCTTTTTATTTTGGAAGGGAAACGAGGCAGGATACAGAATCGGTCGTTGGTCGTGTCTGTTAAGAGGTGTAAGCTTTAGCTCACTCCCTGGAATAGATACAATTATGATGCGGACAATGGACGTGAAGAGACCTACCGGTTATCATCACAACTATAGCTCTCGGCGTGATAGCTTGGCGTAAGAATGACCTAATGGTGCCTATGTTAATGGCTTTCATCTGTATTCTTCATCGAAGGAGGAACAAAGCAAACCTGCTTATGGCGATTCACAGCCTATTAAATAATATCAGCCCAGCATGCCCTGGAAATCAATCTGAGTTAATAGCTTCTTACATAATAATAGAAAAATCTGCGGACTTTCTCGTAGATCTCGCTAGGTGTATGTTGCTCTGGCCACATATGTAGAAGCTTCTCATACATTCCAAACGGCCCACATTTGCTTATTTTGCGCAAACGACCAAATAAGGAGAGCTCTGTATAAGTCATCCCCATTTGGTCCTCGTCGGATCTGGGTTATCAACTCAGCAGGTATCAATGAGTCAAGAGAACTAGGGGAGCTGCTTACTGGGTGTAACTCTCAGTTATAGGTTCCAACTGAAGCTGTCAGTCTTTGGATTTGCCATTGCCTTGAGATTGTGAAGGGAAGAGGATATATACTTCTGCAGTAGGAATGGCATGCACAAAGCTTTCGATGATAGGTAAATCAAAGTTTACTTTCGCCCACAGCAGGAAGTCGATTAAGTCGCGTTTATCAATCGACCCAATTGGATTCAGATCGGCACTCGAACAGTCATATTCTTTTACTACCAGTAAATATTAAGTATCTTCAGTTAGGGCGTTGGGCCTTACTAGTAAGATATCCTCTAAGTCTACAAGTAGTTAGAACCTGATTGAGAAAGGGGCATTATCAAGCAGGTGATACGAACTGTTCCGATAGATTTCCTAAAAAATAGTTAATCGGTCAGTGATGTGCATTAAATATTGCAGGATGTACAATACCGGATGCAAGAACTAGAAGAGAGCCTCCTCCTGGTCTCTGTCGCACAAGGGGAAGAAGTTGAGCAAACATGTAACCAACAACAAGTCGGGAACGCGCTTGAATGTCTACAAGACTGGTTAGAGAAGACCCATATATGTGGTTGAATTTGATGGCGTACTCTGAAGGGCGAGATTTTCGGATTGTGTACCGCCGTGGACAGAGAAACGGGGGGTAAAATTAGTAACAAAACTGAATAAGTTCGATATTGCTGAGACGACGGAGTCTATGTCCAGGTCAATGTGATAGCTCCCAATATACTTGGCTAGTTCTTTCGCCCTATATCTTGTTTCTTTGCTTGAATTCGTGGTGCCCATATAGCATGTATGAAGGATTCTGCCACAGAGATCTTGCGGGGTTTCCGGCAGCCATTTTGAATCAGGTGGTTCTCCAACGACCCTACGCATATCCGCAATTACATCTTCATTTCTGTGATGGCACGCAGCAACTACCAGACGACACATCGAAAACGTAATTACAGCAACCGATGCACTGTCTAGCCCTCCAGATAGCGGAAGGCTGTGAACTTCAGTCAGTCAAAAGTGGATATATATACTACAGATAGTGATATCTTACAAGAAACCAGATTGCCTGCTGCGCCTCAGATAATCCCAAAGCCAGCATGCAGGGCCCAAGGCAATTTCTTCCTCTGGGGTATGGAAATTCAATTCGATGTCAGGAGAGGGTTTGATACTTGGGTTAAACGCGTCCGATTTCTTCGACAAAGAGATTTGGGCCTCGATTCGCTGGTACACGGGTGCTTGACTGGCCTGGGCGCTTCGGCTAACTGACGTACGAAAGCTGCGGACTTCTTCACTGTTATATTTGTCAGTTGGTGGGAGGTAAAATAGCCGTTTGGTCGCTGCACTAACAGGTCAACAACTGCCGTCACGACATCCACATCTTTCAGCGAGAACTGAGAGCTCATTCCAACCACACGCCCGTTGACGAAGATACCTGCTGAACCGTCAAAATAGAGACGTCCATTTCCATCTTCTCCTCTCTGATTTGCGTACAAATAGATACCACCCCCTCTGGTACAGTGACGGATAAGTTCGATCCGTTGTTTCAGTTTTCTGAGTTCATGGTGCTGAAACTACGTTAGCAAAATTAAGGAAATGGGGCGGTCAAAACTAACGCTTCCACTTGAGTTCGTAAAGATTTCTACCCCATTGAGTCCCATATGAATACCTGGATTACTCGGGGTGAAGAGCTCCTCACATGTTTCTATCCCAATGGCTGAGTCATAGGTACTTATGACCGCGTCACCAATTGGCACAGTTGCCTGGCCAGTAATGTTGCCCACAATTCTTTCAAGATGATACTCCTCTACATGTCTCGGTTTTGCCCAGGGAGTAAACCATCTGTATTCGTAATAATTGGCATCTGCGTATTTTTAGCATCAGAACAATCTCGGGAATTGTTCGCCAGATCTCCTACCTCCGGCAAGCCACATCTTCGGTTTGATCAGAAGGATCTTCCGATTCAATATATGTATTCTCGCATTGTAGCGAATCTGGAAGTTATGAGAATGCCACACAGTTATCCCTAGGGTTGAAGGTGACACATACATTGCGATGCCGCACCTTATACACGTCAGACTATGAAAAATAGTTAACGTATAAGGTTCATGACATTGCAGATCATACAGGAGCACCAATATCAATGAGAATATCTTGACAATCGGGATGGTCGACGATGGTCGCAATGCATTGCCAGACATGCAAATAGAGATCCCCTTCCAAAAAATGGTCTTGGCACGAGTAGCCAGTTATTTCAAGTTCAGGTCCTACGCGAAGCCTATGATATTGTCAGTAAGGAGTCCCGAAGGGGGCAATAATATATTACAGACTTAGCCCCTGCGGCTTTTGCGATGCGGATACTCTCGATGATGCGAGTGGTATTTCCTTCGAAATCCAGCACCCACTGGTTGAGGGAACTAGATGCCAGTTAGTATTTCCAATTCCGAGACGAAGAAGATACAGGACCTACCAAGTAGCTACTGTTACGAGAGGAGCCATTTCTATATATGCTGCACTGATCTAGCTCAGGCAGTGCTGAAGAGCGACATTACACTTCTTCAACTCCTTGCAAGATGATGCTTTTGGCCTGTCAAGGTCATGTGATTTCACTAGCCCGAAGTTATTTTGTTCGCGAAAGATTATCCGGAACGATCAACCGCAAAAATCTTATAGTAACTGCAACTTTGGGCTTCAACGATGGAATAAATTGTGCATTGCTAATTTCTGAAGGACAATATAGAAAAGATGCCTCCAGTAAATCAACGAGGAAAGGATCGACCGAAGCCCAAGGCAAAGAGCAGCGGTAAATCCAAAAGCACGACCAAGAGGACAAACAATATTGAGAGCGCCAAAAGCAATGGGAAGACCATGAGCAAACATGGTGTTGCGCCAGGAAACACCTCCATTTCTATTGCTAAAAATAATGAAACGGTACTGGGAGTGACACTTCTGCCAATTCCACTGCAGCAGCTGCTTCTGAACGTTTTCCAGTCAGGCCTTCTCTCTGATAAAGCTTCTGCAACAGAGCCCTTGTCACGACCTTTATCAGAACTGGTCCAGATACTGAAGACCCATCTGTATCGGCGGGACTTTTTGTCTGCATTTGCTGATGCAAATGAGGAGTTGCTCAAAGCATACGCCCTACGGTGGAGTGCCGGAAGAGCTCTAGCCTATGCGGGCATATTTGCATCTGTATGTGAAATGATCATTCAGCATCGTACCACAGTCGCAGAAACTATTACAACCGGGAGTCATGTTGTTTGCATTGGAGGAGGTGCGGGAGCAGAGATTGCGGGATTGGCGGCAGTGTGGAGATGGCTTCATGATGGGAAGAAATCCAGTGCTGAAGATTCCGTTAGTCTGAATAGCGAAGAGAAAGCTGTTTCAATAAATGATGCCTTGGATGATTTGTCATTACGAAACGAAACACAGCTGGGGAATGATCCAAACGCTCGCCAATCTGAGGATGATCTAGCTAGTGGTAATTGTGACACGCCTTCCGACCGGCAGCCATTCTCAGAGCTGTCGATCACCGCTGTGGATATTGCAGACTGGTCTTCCCTTGTTGGCAGTTTGAATAAATCAATCTTGTCAGAGTCCATACCAGCGTCGAAGGTTTGTCCTGCGCCGCTGGTTCCTTTCCAAAGTACAGGGAGCCGAGCCGATTGTGGTTTTCGCGTCTTCTTTAAGAAAGAAGACGTATTAAGCTTGACAGGTCAAGAGCTAAATTCTTTGCTGGTCCCACCTGGGGTTGATATGAATGGCAAGACTGGCCATAAGAAGTTGGCTACGAAACGAAACACCACTGTTCTAGTTACTCTGATGTTCACGTTAAACGAACTTTTCTACACCTCGATACCCAAAACAACAGCGTTCTTGCTTCAGTTAACCGATATGCTCTACCCTGGGACGATACTTCTCGTTGTTGATAGCCCTGGAAGTTATTCAACCGTTACTCTGGGCGGTAGAATGGATCATTCTACGGAGTCATCAAACCTCGATTCTCCCTCTTCCTCCCAGCAAGAAAGCTCAACCAATCAAGATATCCACAAAGAATATCCAGAAGGCTCAGCAATTACAAAGCAGCAGAGGAACTATCCAATGCGGTTTCTCCTCAACCATGCGCTGCTTTCCGTCGCTGGTGGCAAATGGGAATGTATTGTATCAGACGATTCTAGGTGGTTTCGAAGGGACACGTCTAAACTTAGATATCAAGTCGGGGATGGAATTGGCTTGGAGGATATGAGATTCCAAATCCATGCCTATCGACGGCTGATGGACTAATGACAGTTACAGGTCGTGCGCAAGGTTCATTATTTCAAGAACCGAATCGAAATAAACCGAAATTACCTGGAAGATGTCGGAAATAGGAACTTATGTCAGTGATGAAAGGCATGAATTTGAATCTCGGAAACTATTCACAACTGCCTCGGAAATGAGAAAGTGACGATGACTAAAATCGGCTGCTTCTGAATGAAACCCAACTGCAAGGAAAATAACGCCAAATTCTGTATCGCTCTTTAAAACGGGAGATAGTCATCATTGACATCGTCATCGCCACCACCATTGCCATCACACTCTCTATCAAGTCATTTCCATCTAGCAGCTAAAGCTGTTGGCAACGCGGGCTTGGAGCTCTCATTTGTATCCCAGAGTCCCAACAGACATTGTTTTTCCTTATCCACGATAAGATTTTTGGTTTTTGATCCTTTGACACATTTGATCGAGCTCTCAAATACCCTTGCCAGCCGTATGAGAACGATTCATTCTCATTTTCCCAATCGCCCATATTCTTCCTCACTCACTTCTTCAATTTGGATGCGGCTTTGGTTGAATACCCCGTCATTATGATAAGCAATGACAAAATTTGGGATCTGACGAGCCCATAATCGTGTGTGTAACTTTATCCATATCGATTTGTTTTCTGGATTCGCCATGGTCGACGAGGTCTTCCTTGCTTGTCGATGTTGTTTCTTCGCGCTGTTGTTGCACACCTTTAGACTTATCGTCTAGCTAGCAATCAACTTCAAAGTGAACGAGGAAATTTAGCCTTCCAAATTCATTGCGAATGATGCGTTGGTTTGTCGCCGAGCCTTTGACACTTTTATCCCAAGTCGTATATATTTCTGGGAACGTGTGACCATACCCGTACACACCTCGAATGAGTTCTTTGGGTGAACGCTCCTTCTGGACTATGGGTGATCTTATCAATTCGCGTCATCGATATCGTGAGATTTCCAGTGTTTCGCCGTTCGACCGGGGACACCATTTTCTTGGTTCCGGCCCAGGTCACATGTTGATTGCTTTCCCTTCAAGTTCGGGTTACGATCGAATATGATCGTGGCCATCTTGCAGCGTTTGGCTCCGTATTCGCCAGAGTCCCTTTTGAGTGCAAGCTCATTTGAAACGGTGTCCACTTCGCAGGTAGCCTGAAAGCAATTCAACACACCGAAGTTAATAGGTAAACGATCAGATTGGGAGGGGTGAAAAACCTGGAACCATCTCTATATAACCAATTATACGAGCCAACTAATTCTCATTTTGTGATCTTTGGATTTCCACGCCTCCCCTCGGGGAGGGCGTCAACGGTTATTGCGGCCACTAATGGACCAACAGATGGTTCTAGAGGACGCTGCTGTTCGACTGCATATCTTGATACCCCGAGGTTTACTTCTCCAGGTTCCTCCTCGAAAGACAATCCTGACAGCTTCACAGGTTTTAACAGCACCTCTCGCGACTGATGTTATTCCAATTTCTCTTCCGCGTTTGACCTCCTCCTAGTGGAGTTTCTCGAAGAGCCTGTCATTTTCGTGTTGAAATCCCAGAGGAGATGCGAATCTACCTGGGTAGGCTCCTATTTATTTGAATGAGAAAAAAGTGGCCAGCTTTGGAGAGCAACCGAGATTCCCTTCTTATTCCTTTGTCATGGGATGAGTGAAAGAGATGGCAATGGTGATGGAGTAACCCGCATAAGCAGAGTGTTTTGGAACTACCATATTCTCCAAGCACATTGTGCCTGAGCAAACAAAGCCTTAAAAAGTTTTGTGGAATGAATGTCTTTGTCAAATTGCACTGCAGACCAAAAAACTCATCCTTGCTGCATTTGGGTCCCTATTATTGCATTCCTGAAGGCTCCAAGACATTTTCTTGGCAGTAGGTTTGTCTGGGTGTCTGGCAGCTGAATGCATAGTTAGCACAGTCTCAGCTGTTCATGTCTGACTTCTATTGATCAGCTTTCAGAGTTCATTCACTCTATCTGAGTATTTACATTGTCAAGCACAGTCAATAATTGTCTGAGTCTTACTATATCTTGTTCTCATCAAACTGAGTTTTCATTAACACTATCTTCTGACAGCCTTCATGTTTGAAAATCCTGGTAAATATTAAGACATGACATGCAGATTGACTCAAGACTGCAGAGATGATGTTACAGAGACTCTCAATCAACTTGAGAAGACAAAATAACACCATGTGACTTTTGTGAAGTCTCACTCTTTCCCTCTTCCTTCTCATAATATGATTGTATGCTATGAAGATAAAAGATTCGCTCTGTAAACTTATGCTCCTCTCACCCTTCACTTTGTCATTTTGCTGCAACTCCAACCAGTGGACATATTTGTCGAATAAATATGTTAGCAGGATTTGAGAACGTGGGCAATACATTCCAATATACATATATATTTTTTTTCAAACGGTCCAGCTGTCAAACTCTTTGACATATTGCTAGACCATCTTCGAATTTTCGAAATCTGGAGTGTTTCTCTTCGTGCACACCTCCCATCTATGTCTTTGCCCAATGGGACTGGATAACTCCTCTCCAGACAGTATGCTTCACAGGGTTTTCTTCGACACCATAACTGGTGAGTGTTATATCACCAATTCTCAGAGCGCCAGGTTCTTTATCAATTCTGTTTGTACCCAGGACAACACAGTCACCTGAGTGTCAAAACTAATGAGAAAACAGAAGGGTCTGTCTGATGTTCAATCTGCATTGCGCATGTACATTTCACTAGATGTTCTCAACAGCCCTGCTCCAGATCTCCGATGATATTTCCAGGCGCCTGAAATGAAAGGTATATTTGGAGGAGATTTTTTACGCCAAATCATTTTTGTGGTGGTCGAGCCGCCAATATTTTGAGTGCATCACTGATGCTTTTAAACGTGGACGTCTGCGAGAGAAGACCACTCAGACTTTGCCTTGCTGCTTTTTGCAGCTGCAGTCATACTTAATTGCGAAATCAACAGCCCAGAACAGGACGCTCGGCTTCTAGATAACCGAATTAAGCACATCGTGGAAGCTATCACTTCTGCAAACCCAGCTGTGGACTCTTGGAGATTCTTCAAGAGTGCAATATTATCCTGACAATCATAAGGGACCGGCAAAACAACACTAGCCCGAAAAATGGGTAAGATGTTTTACAACGTGGGAATGTTGACGACTAGCGAAGTAATTAATGCTCAGCGACGGACTTAATCGGACAACACGTTGGTCAAACCGGTCCTAAAAAACAACCATTACTTGAAAGGGCCTTGGGAAAAGTTTTATTGAAGAGGCGTATAGATCTTCTCAGGGTGATTTCGCGATTGAAGCTATCAATGAGTTGTTGACAGCCTGGACAAGCCAAAATTGGCCGGCTGTATGGGTTGCCATTCTTGCAGGCTATGAAACTGATATGAACTAACTATTCAGTATTAACTTATGGTTTGTTACACCGATTTGTGAAGAATTGTTTTTACCTATGCTGCCGAAGAAATTGCTGTCGTTGCTGCGACGAAAGCTGGAAGCCGTGGGAATTGCAGTCCGACCAGAAGAAGGCCCTGACGCATATATCCCGCTGATCTGCGTTCTCAAGATCTCGGTGCGCTTCCATCCTGGGTAGATGGTCGTGATATAGAAACAATATCAAAGCCTGTTAGTAGCTCAGCGATCAAAAGTGCCGAAGCTAACGAAAGCCACCATAGTTTCCCATAAACATCTTGTTGACGCGCTGAGAAAGTAGAAGCAAAACAAAAAGGAACAATGCGCGACACTAAATGATTTCATTAAGCCTTATTCTGGGACGTGAGGATATCGTCATTCCGGAGACCTGGCTCCCTCCTGAAATCCGGATTTCAGCTGCGCAAATCAAGAATGACAAAAAAAACAAAATGCCAGCTTTCCTAAACAGCTACCCACCAGATCCCAAACCCATCTGCTGGTGGTGGGGTGCGTGACGCTGTGGTATCTGGCGAGACCTGGAGGCACACTCACCCTGATAAAATAAATCTTACGGACTTGATCGGTAATGGATGGTAGAAGCAATTTTCCTTTCAAAGCAGAGTTACAGTCCAAAAATGATGAGAAAAGGCGGCTGAACGCCCAAGAGAAAAGTGTCGAGGAAATGATGCAGAAAGCCAGGCAAGATCCGAAAGATATGAGCTGGTTGAAGCAGCCTACATGAGAAAGCCCGGCTAAAAGCTATCCTGGAACATCTGCAGCCAACGAGGCGTTGGACACAAACTGAACACTTAAAGCAAGAAGAGATTGAAGTTCAGCACAAACCGCGGACGATGGATGTCTGCCCTGCCTGGATTAAACAAGCTCATGGATATCGCTGTTCCCGCAGTGCACATTTTGTCGACAACGTTGAGATGGGAATTTCGTCTGGACAGGACGAAACTAAACGGATTGCTCCTTGACTTTCCAGTTAGATAATCTCTGCTAATTTCCAGGCTACATAGTTATATGCTAAATTTAATAGGAGGTTATGAGTGAGTCTTGTTTTTCTCCATAGCACACACACACACACACACACACACACACACACACACACACAGAGCACAGGGAGGCCACAGAAATGCTGCTTACTGTGATTGAGAGTGAACCCATTTGCAACCCCGAAAGGAGGGTCGGGCTGAAGTTGGTTGTTTGTTCGGACAACTAATTAACTAACTAGAGTAACTAACTAACTAGTTAACTAATTAAATAACAGCCGAGCTCAACCCAGGGAGGTTGGAAGCCAATCACCAACGAGGTCTCTCGTCCTCGTCCCATTTCTCCACGGATGGTTACCCACCGTCTGCTGTCTTGCCCTTTTCGCTGTCCCACCCTCCTGGATAATATCAAGCATATGGAGGGTCTGGATGTTCACCTGGCGGATAGCCAACTAGTTATACCACAAGACCTTGTCAAGGAATCAATGTGTTTTCCTTTTCCCCCCCTCTCCCTGTTCTACGGCCTATTGCTCGTCTTCCACTGAACGGTCTGGAGGTACCAGTACAATTTTCCGGCATGCTGTCGAATTGTTTTCAAATATTCCGTTACACTACTTAAAATCCTTCCTGTTGATCAGGGTTGCGTTGCATTTCTCGCGGTGTGCATGTGGAATGAGAACTACCTGCCCTCTTCATCTTGTTGATGCAGCAAATATCTCCGGTAACCCATGACGGAAGGGTATTTCTCGAGCATTCACAATGGACAATAGACTCCCCTCTCTAGGCCCAGATAGAAATGTTGAATACGGCATTTGGTTCCATTCAAGATAGATCATTCGTCTTGAACATCCGTTCCTTCCCTTGATTTTGTCCTCCGGCCCTAATGGTGACTATATATAGATTCAACGTATATATCGTATTTCACGAAGTTGTCAACAGTCGTCCAACTTCTATTCCCGACGATCCCTTTTACAGAACTCTACTCTGCCATCAACGTCCCCTCACCAGCTATGGCCACGCTTTTCGGGATAATATCCATGGCAAGAATTTTGCTGACTATTTTAAACTCGGGCCTGGTACTTACAAACCCGCTTCCACGCCCTCCCCCAGCCCTAGTTCCGCGATTCACATCACCCTGTCCCGCTGTAAGAATAATATCCGCGCGTGGAACCTCTGAAGATCCCGGCGAGGGCCGTCTAGCTACTGTTGCCAGTGATATCGCCAAGGGACACGAAAACAGCGAACGCGTCCCGCTTGATTACCCTGCGGAACTTTTTCCGTACTCCCTGTCGCTGCACCAGGGGATCAGGGCACTCAAGTCCCTCCTAAACACGACTGTGTCGGAGTGTCCGGATTCGAAAATTGTGGTTATGGGGTATTCGCAAGGGGCACATGTTATAGGCAATACTCTGTGTGGCGGAACCATTACGAAAGCGATTGATACGGTGATTGGAGATAAAGGTATGCAATATGTGTTATTCCTGTTGGCTCCATTTGTAGAAAAGATGTTTGTTGTGCTTGGAAGTGCAGAGATGAGAAAGACGGATAAAAAGAAGAAAGGAGAAAGGACTCGTTAAAGGAGTATCATGTCTGTTAGTTACTGCCATTATCTTCATGGCTGATCCACGCCATGTACCGGGGAAACCGTACGATGTCGGTACCGCAACCCGGGGTGGCGTAAGTTGCAATTCTCTTCATGGTTTAATCTCTCTCATATTGGATTGGATACAATGAATCTTACGCCACCATCCAATAGCCACACTAATTTCATAAAAATGATTGGCAGCTTTTCGCACGCCCAGACTCTGAGAGCTGCGATTACTTCGCACCCCGCCTGCGAGCCTACTGCGACTCAGACGACCTGGTCTGTGATAGGGGCTTTGACCGTGAGGTACATCGGGCTGTTGTGGGGAAGTATCAGGCAGATGCTGTTGCATTTGTGAACGGGTTGCTTAATTGAATATACCCCGTCTTATTGCTGGTAGCGGTTCGTTAGAAGTTAGCGATTTGAAAGGCTTAATTAATATACTTTATAACTTATACGGTTCTGAGAACTTTAACCATGATATTTTACTTGGATTACATAATATATACTGTCTGCAGGTTTTTATGAAACAAATGGTCTATAATTCTATATTCTATAATGCCGGCAAATAAAGCAAGAAGAAAGGGAATAAGAAATCAAACTATCGGTAGTGTTGATACATGAAAATAGTTGGCAAGGAGAACGATATTTTCAGGGGAACAGAGGAAAAAAGCTGTCGGATTCCCTTTAATTTGATCCGTTTTAGACAGGGTGGTTGGATCGAGTGGATAATCCGGTCCTGGCATCAATATTGCTAATGAGGTGATAAGTTACTTCCGAATTCATCTCAGTCAGTCTGAAGCCCAAACTCCCCCCCAAAAAAATGTAGCTATTCCCCAAGACTCCAACCTCGAAATTAAGTTTCCGCTACCGTATTCTCGACTCATGCTCGATCCCGGCAGTATCTGGAGGAACGCTCGCCGCAAATCGATAATAGTCGCTACGATCATCTGGTATCGTAAGCGGTGTCGAGTATCCGCTGGATTTGCGTGACGTGCCTGCAAGACTTGATACCTCTAAGATCTGTGGTGGATGCTCATTTTTGTTAGCCAGGGCCTTGGCCATTAACCCGCGATTGCATTATTTTGGGTATGGAACGGAACGGAACTTGCCATTTGGTTATGGGAGCCTGTTGTTTGGCATAGGCCTGGAGACACGCTGCGGCTGAGATTACGATGCTGCAGCTCCATGAGGATAGATTCGAAGTGCGGAGATGGAAGTGGAGGTGGGGTTTGGAGAGGGACGGGACGGCGGTCGATCAAGCTGGGACAATACTCGGATAGAGCTTGACGATATTTGGGTAGAGGAGATTGCAATTTATTGGAGAAAATCGAGTGATATTCGTTATGCGACTGAAGTTGAGGAGATCCGGTTGACAAGGAATGATGATGATGGAAGGGTCCTGAATCGTACTGAGGAGGGGTTGAACGCCAATCAAGTGACACGGGTTGACGAAAGTGGTGGAGATGAGGGGATGAAATATGGATGTATGAAATATGCCGCAATTGGGGAGGTATGGGCTGCTGGTATGGGTTTGGATGAAGTTGAGGTGGAACAGTATTTAATTCGGGGCCAATTGGTTGATAGCTCTGATATTGAACGGTGGCAGGAGTATACCTATTAATGGGAGAATGGTGATTGGCCATGGAAGTTTCAGACTGGTCCACGACAGGTTGGCGGTGGTGGTGATGGGTTACCTGGGCCTCCAGTTCAGCCAAAGATGACTGTTCCATCATAGAGAGCTGAGGGGCGGACGCAGATGTGCTGGGCTCTTTCGGCCTAGAATTCGGGCCTTTATATATCTCCCATATCTAATACCAGGCGAATTAGTTCCAGTTGACTATTTCTCGTTCTTCTAACCGAGTTAAAAAAATTAAAAAAAAAATAAAAAAAACCGTTTAGTACTTACAAGCTGACTACGTTTGTTAGATTGACAATTTGGTACGGAGGTGACCTGTCGAACATACCCACGCTTCTGTAGAGCTCGCCGCAGACAATCCTGCTTGACATCAAGGTCCAGAGCCTCAATTATCTTCTTATAGGAGAGGCTCTGGTTTTCCTTGGAGGCTGTTAGAAAGTTTTCAATGTCATCGACCTGCTTCGTGGACAGCTTGCTATTCCGGCCGGGTCGCTTTTTCGGATCGCATGTATTAGATTCACAAGTATATTGAACAGCACGGTGAGAGACATGGAGATACTCTGCTATAGCTCGGTATGTATAGCCCAACCGCCGCATGACGAGGATATCTTTTCGCTCCTCGCGATTGAGGCGACGTCTGTGGATCTGAGACTGAGCCTGGGGAGCGGGATTGGAGGAGGCATTAGGGGATTCCAAACTACTAGCTGTGGGCGAGGCGAAATCCATTGCGGAACGAATTGAAGCTGGAGATAAAAGGCAGATAGATGGATGCCGAAACGTGTTGATTATGAACTTGTAGCATGAGGCAGCCAGGAGAACTCCTGGAACTGCGGGTGCGGCCTTGAGGCAGCGCTCTCATCCATGGCAGCTGTAATGCCAAAATAAACACCCGATAAAAAAGGAGATCATCGAATAGCTCCCATCCGCCTAAGGGAAATTTCCTTCATCACGTGGAGCTGGTTAGATCTTTTACTTTAGGCGGCATCTTAGGCGCTTTTCTCACGGCGCTTAGGACGGACATCCAACCGTTAGGGAAGAAAAGGCGAAGCCTTGACTTCGCATCCGCAGCGTTGGGACCGGTCCTGGGAGTTTGGCCATGGAGCGGGCTTCCCGCATCCGAGAGACATCTGTGCATGAAGTTGATCGAGAGAACACCCGGATCGGATAGGGCTTTATCTATACACGAGGTCGGCCGCCAACGTGTCCCCAGGGCCAGATTTGTCTTACACCACCGCTGATTTTTTTCGTGCTCGGAATCCTTAAGGAAGCGCGTTGAATCCACGAATGAGCTTGTTTCTTCTGTAAGCTACAGGTGTTGTCGGATTGTTCGTCCTTTGGGAGTGACAAATTTTCCTTTTTGAATTCGGTAGAGATTCTCATCTTAGGTTAAGGACTCGGGTAACATCCAACCTAACTTCTTGCATACACAGATCCAAGGATGCGATCGCCCCCAAAGTCATGAGGGCATGTTTTAATATGATAGCAGCAAGTTCATCGTTCACTATTTATTAAAACCTTGGAACATCCAGCAGAAATAAACATTGACTGCTACACCTAAACATGCATAGATCCAGTCCAGCTACTGTGTTCAACCTTCGGTGGTTATCATTTGCTATATCGTGGCCATTTGGTAGCCATTGGTCCGGCAGGAAATTAGTCCATTGGGGAGCCAAGTTTTCTGGGCTTCTACGCAGCTTTCCATGGATGTCAGGCTGCATGGAGTTTCCTCCATATAGCCTGTTTGTCATATTCTGCATCTTGCATCGCTCAGCTGTCTATGTGTTTCTGCTGTTAAATTTTCGCTTCATTTACCTGTGGAAAGCTGCGCCAAGTGATTTGAATTGCAATTATATTGCACTCCCATTTCCTGGGGTTGGATTGATGGCTTGCCGTACAACACAGCCATTTAATAAAATAAAGGAATTATATCGACACCCTCACGTCAGATCATACAATGAACTCTCAATGATATATGACATTACCTGTGCGAGAAATGTCCACCTGTTGTCCTGTGGTCGGCAGTGCTAGTTTTTTTTTTTTTTTTTTTAACTTTGGGTTAAAACTTTAAACATTTTGTTCCCTAAATTGAAATTTGCTTGCTGATACAAGATAACTTTACAAGAAACACTATTTCTTTGCAGTGACAGATGCATTTTTTATTACAAGGAAACCTGCTGAGTAAGAGGCGAATTGGTCCCTTATTTTAGAGCGGGTTTTGTCGGTTCTGTCCAGAGTTATCACCGCCTCCGGATCCACCCAGTTTTCAAATATACATGGATGGGGCTTTGTTCACAAAATAGACTTATTGTCTCGCTTTCAATCGCCATTGCGCAATGCTGTTAGCCGATTTTTGTTCCTTGGTTCTTGAGTTTTCTTTTTGCATTTTTAATAATAGTTCGGGAGTATCTCATTGGGTAAAAGATCTGTTCAACGATTCGCTTTCCGGATAAACCAGGGGAGGACTCAAGGAAAGAAAAGAAAAAGACTTTTCGTGGGGAACTGTTCAAAATTCCCTTATAACTCAACGAACAGTCGCTGGCTTTCTGGGTCTCCAGTTGCTCGCACAATCAACCCTCAATATCTTCATAGGGCAGCCTTCTAGGTCGAGCGGCCCTAAAACGGCTGTATGCTGGCTCAGCCGGGATGAAGGAACAAGCTGGCCGTATATCGCTGGCCCAAGATGAAAAGGGTACGAAAAGCGTAAGGGATATGACCTCCTGGTCAAGTCAACAACATGAGTCTGAAGAGCTGGAGGAGATCCATGCATCTTCCCAGTTGACCCAACTGAAGAGGAAGCTTAAGAGTAGGCACCTTCAGATGATTGCGATTGGTATGCCACTTTTACTCGGCTTCTGAACTCCCAACTAGAGCATTGCCACTGATGCTGTCATTCTAGGTGGAACCATTGGCACAGGTCTATTCATCGGAAGTGGTGCTGCAATTTCAAAAGCTGGTCCTGCTGGCGCTCTGATCGCATATGCCTTCGTTGGCTTTATCGTCTTCTCCGTCATAGTTTCGCTTGGGGAAATGGCTACATACATTCCCATACCTGGCTCCTTTACCTCTTACGCTACCCGTTTCATTGACCCTAGCCTTGGTTTTGCTATGGGCTGGATATACTGGTTTTCATGGGCCGTCACTTTTGCACTCGAACTGACGGCGACGGGTCTCATCATTCACTATTGGAATGATACTGTCCCCATCGGAGTTTTCATAGCAGGGTTTTGGATTTTTATTACCGCCATCAACATGCTGCCTGTCAGTTTCTACGGTGAGATCGAGTTTTGGTTTTCCAGCATCAAGGTCATCACGGTCATTGGTTTCATGATATTTGGGATCTGCATCAATGCGGGTGCAGGTCAGCAAGGCTACATTGGCTTTAAATATTGGCACAACCCGGGGGCGTTTGCTCCATATCTCCTCGAAGTCATTGGCAACGACAGAGTCACAACAGCAAAATTTATCGGTTTCTGGGCAACTCTTATCCAAGCCGGCTTTTCATACCAAGGAACCGAATTGGTCGGCATCGCAGCTGGCGAGACCGAAAACCCACGCAAAGTCGTGCCAGCAGCAATAAAGAAAACCTTTTACCGCATTCTATTCCTCTTCGTTCTTACCATATTCTTCATCGGTATTCTAATTCCATACACGAACCAAGATCTCCTCTCAAATGCCTCCAACGCCTCAGCTTCTCCATTCGTCATCGCTGCCAGACTTGCCGGGGTCAAAACACTCCCAGGCCTCATCAACGGCATCCTTCTCACTGTCGTCCTCTCCGCTGCCAACTCAAACGTTTACTCCGGTAGTAGAATACTTGTGTGTCTAGGCCAGGACGGTTGCGCACCCAGATTATTCACTAGGGCCACCCGGAGAGGCGTCCCAATCTTCAGCGTGCTTTTCACTGCCGCTTTTGGCCTGCTCAGCTTCCTCAACCTGTCCAACAGTGGTTCCATAGTCTTCGAATGGTTCATGAACATCAGCAGCATCGCCGGCTTTATTTCATGGACATGCATTAACGGTTGCCACCTCAGCTTCATGCGCGCTCTTCGCGTCCGGAATATTTCCCGCCATACACTTCCCTACAAGGCACCTTGGCAACCTTACCTTGCCTATTTTGGCCTCTTTTGTAACGCCTTTATTATCACCACGCAGGGTTTCACTTCCTTCATACCGTGGGACACATCGCGTTTCTTCGTTTCGTACGTTAGTTTGATTCTCTTTGTTGTCTTGTACACGGCACACAAAATCGTGTTCCGGACGGCCTTCGTCAAGCCGTGTGAAGCGGATTTAGATACTGGTCGGGTAGAACTTGATGCGGAGACGTGGGAAACAGCTAAAGTTCCCACAACCTTTTTGGGACGAGTTCGTCATCGGATGCACGCAATGTTTTGTTGATTAGGGTATGCCAGATGTATTTTTGTATTCTTATCATCACCGCCCTACTATTGTTTTACCAACGTCGATCGGTAAGTACCGGTTGATTGGGTTCTATACCACCATGTAGCATTGAGTGTCCTGTGCGGACCGTATGACATATGATACGGAGACACTTGGTTAATTGCCCTGTGTTAGCTGGTTGTGCATAGGTGAATATGTTTATACCAGTGTACACGTAACCAGTTTACAGATTTATGCATAGAAATATAGAACTTTGTATAAATACATAGTCGATACCACGGGACATGCTTCCCAAGCACCATGCTCAAGTCATTCCCAAAAGCCATCATGATGCAGTCATGCGTTTCATGACAAGTTGTTTTGAATGGAACCAAAACCCAAGAAGGTCATAAACCAAAAAGAGCAGTATGGAAACAAGTATTCGCAAATGAAGCAAATCAATGAAAATGAAACAGATACGTAAATTATTAAACAAATATATGCTAGCAGCTGGACGGACAGACTGTACTGCTCACCAGCAGCAGCCCAGACTACCAAAGTCTGATCACGAAAAGAAGACATTCTCGTAAACCCACCATTTAACATACCGCTGTCTCGCACGGAAGGTTGGCAACATGAATTGTGTTAAGTTCATTTGGTCCAAAATTTCGTAGTATAATGTGCAAAAGCGCCCGCCGTTGAAGAGCTGTGAGTGTCAATGAATATACCCGGGATACAGATAGCCGGACTGCGCAAAGGCACATACCACCCTTGTTATTATTTTATACACTGCTGAGAAGAGGAGAAAAGATAAATACATTGACACATTACAGGAAAGTGATAGAGAGTAAATGAGAATTTTGACACGCTCATTTGTTTCAAAAAAAAATAGGAAGCGAGAGCAACACCACCATCATCCTGGATACAACACTGTACTCTTTCATTTTTGCTGATTCTGTTGCTCTTTAGCTCCTCAAACCAAGCAACAGACTGGTGCTCTTTCCACCCTCCTTCCCTTCCCCGCCACCAGGAAGATACGTCACATTAGGATTGCTGGCTAGCGTCTGAGCGATCTCACGACTGGCATCAATTCTACGGATCTGAATCAAGCCATCACCAGCTTTCGCAACAGCCTTGCTAATAATTTCCGCACTCTCAGCCTCTCCCTCCGCACGGATAACGTTAGCCTGTCGCTCCTGCTCAGCCTTTTCGACAATGAATCTTGCCCGTTCAGCATCCTGTTGGGCGATCTGCTTCTGTTCGACGGCGCGGGTGAATTCGCGGCCGAAAGTCATGTGGGTGATGGAGACATCTTCAAGGGCGATGTTGAATTCCATGGCACGGCGCATGAGGTCATTGCGGATTCTATTGGAGACGGCTTCACGTTGTGTGATGAGTTCTGCAGCATCGAATTGGGCGACGATGGATTTTAGAACTTCATTGCCGATGGAGGGGAGGACTCTTTCGTCATAGTCTTGGCCAAGGGACTGGGAGTTAATGGTTAGTCTCACGTATATATATCTACACATACGGTAGACTGGGTGAGCAAAAGATGAGGGAACGTACCTGATAGATCTTTGGCAGTTGCTGAACATCCGGTCGATGGAGGACTCTGAGAGTCAAGCTGACCATTTGCAGGTCCTTACTTCCGGTGGTCGTCGAGATGTTTCTGGGCTTTGTTCTCACATCGTAGATAATACTCTTCTGTAGCCAAGGGATGAGAAAGTGTGTTCCCTCATTGACGACTTTTTCCTGAACACCCGAGAGCCTGTCGAAGATGACAGCACGGGTTCCTCCCTTGACATCGTATATAGATGCCTGGACAAAAGATGCCCCGAGAGCGAGTGGCACGCCCCATTTGTAGACAGCCGCGAGAGCGTTCGCCATGTTTAAAAATCCGAGTATGGATGGGGGAATGCGATGTTCCTGGGGCGGCTGGTTTGAATTGGATTTATGAAGCTTTGGTCGAAGTTGGGAGACTTTTCCATAACGCTAGTCTGTATTAGGATTAGCGCTAGGCGATGTTAGAGACTCAACTCTTTTCCACTCAACTTTTGAGCGCAAAACGACAAACCCCAGGTTACTTCGCCATTATCAGCAACCGCACCGTCTCTGTCGAGTATATACTTGATTTCTACGAGTTTCCCTTTCCCTTATCTCTAGCATCATGGGTGGCACACACGCAGATCCCAAGCGTGGAATGTAAGTTATTTTTCCCTTTGTCCTATTCCCGAGTTCACCTGTCGGACTACAGATGCTTATAGACGCACCACACACCATATCACAAAGCATTGATGCTACAGAAGCTAACAATTGGCAGATACATCGGTGGGTTTGGAGGTTTCGGTACGTTTCAACCTCGATTCCTAGAGCGACAACCCGTACTCAACCAGACCGCGCCTCGTTCAACCTTGAACCTCGTTCCAACATGTTTATATGGCCGCGACTAATGGATTCACTCGCGGCTGTATAAACTACAACAGCATACCCCATGCTAACTGCTCTCCCTTCCCTTTAATGGGATCAAAATAGGCTGCCCGACCCCCCAGAAGATAGCGACCTACTCCCTGTCCCCTAACCGACAACGCCCTCTAGCGGGCGCTCTCTACAACGCCATATTCAACACGTGGAGAAGAACTCGCAACCAGGCTCTTTACGTTGTTCCCCCCTTTGTTGCAGCATATGCGATATTGAATTGGGCTGTCGAGAGGTTCGTAGACCTGCCAACCTCCGTTTCTCACTGCCGTTTGCGGATGTTCGTTTTTTATGGTGAGCGTGGGTCAAACGGTTATTGACATGCATATTCTGATAGGAACGAATACTTGAACTCCAAGCCTGGACGATTAGCTGAGGGCTCTTCGGAGGAGTAAAGGCGATACTTGTGGGATATGTGTGTATCTTAGGGAAGAGGAGTGGGAGGCGTTGTCAGCTGTCATTACGCTGTACAGTACATATAACATATTAGAAAGCAATCGACTACTCTGCAAAATACATTTCAATAAATGCCATCGATAATATATATATATATATATTTGATTTTTTATATTACCAATATCTTCTTAGCGGGGAAGCTGGGTAATATCAATGTCTGTTCCAAATCGCTTCGGGATCGTGCACTTCATCTACATTAGGGTATCATCATACGTAACAATCTGCCCTACTTTGCCGTCCGGTTCTACCGACATCAGGAGGCTACCTTACAAGTTAAATGGCCGATCACTCTATGGAATAGACAACCTGTGTATCAAAATTGTGCTATCCGTGGTATCCACCTATGCTCGGCATAACGAGAAAGGAGATAAAACACTCTCATTTGAACCATGCGATTCGAACTCAGAACCTTTTCTGATCGGATAGAGCTAGTCCATATTGGGCTTAGACCTATGAGCTCAAAAGTTTCCCTGACCACCAAAAATTCTAATATAACTCCAGAAACGTTGAAATCCAGTAGAGAGCAGTTGGAAAATCCTTGCAAATTTGTAAAATTATTGCCCAATTCTCCCTTTTTTTCCGCCGGCCATTTTTACTTAATTGTTCTAAACCTTTTTTCCCCGTCTGTCGTTTTATCACTCTACCTGCCCGTCCCTTTCCAAGCCTCCCGACACAATGGCAAAAGAGAAGTCCGAAATAGAGAGAAAGAAGAAGGACAAAAAGCGGTCCGAGAGTGATGGCGTGCACAAAAAGTCCAAGAAAGACAAGAAGAAGGACACGAGCTTGCTTGCTGAGGCTGCTGAGAAGGATTTGACCAAGAAGGTCCTAGACCAGCTCGAGCAGCCAGCGGTTGTTGCTGCTGAGATCACTTCGAAGAAATCGGCCGCGGACCGACCCATTGGTGCCCTTGTGCCGTTCGCAAACCCGCTGGCGGAGGATAAGGTTGCGAAGAAGGTGCTCAAGAGCGTTAAGAAGGGTATGTCGGGTTCTCTCCTGAACATGTTTCCGGCGTCGTTGTCATTTCAACTTGCGACAAATATTTTTCCGTCCTCTTATCTGGATGGACAAAGATTACCTTTCCACACAATTAATTTACTAACAACAGCCCCTGGAAATATTTAGCCGCCGTGAACAAGTCACTCAAACGAGGCGTGAAAGAGGTCGTCAAGGCGCTGCGGAAATCACCTGTGCCACCTCCCAACGCCGTTATCGACAGTCCAAGCGCCGTCGTTGTGCTCGCAGCCGATATCTCCCCAATGGATGTCATATCACATATCCCCGTTCTTTGTGAAGACCACGGAATTCCCTACGTCTATGTCACGTCAAGAGCTGAGCTGGGGAGCGCCGGGGCCACCAAGCGACCGACCAGTGTGGTCATGGTGCTGCCACGGTCGAGTGGGAAGAATAAGAAAGACAACGATAAGCATGCCGATGATAAGGAGGATAAGGAGTATTATGCGGAGCTTGTCAAGGTTGTGCAGAAAGAGGCAAAAAGGGTAAAAATATAAGAACTCAATTTTGTTGCTGGTTTGTCCTTTTAATTTTACATTTTGCGCATTTTCTCCGTGTTTTTCCCCCTTTGCGTCCTTCCGCCTTCATTTCCTTCCCTTGGTTTGTATACCTTTTCTCGTCTTTCTTCTATTTTAACTGTGTTATCTTCTGGATGGGTGTTTCTCTTTTCCTTGTTTTTATTCTGTCTAATTACCCGTTCGTGAAAGTAAGATTTTCTTATACTGGTTAGTATCATGTCATGAACAGCTAGACATGTGACACGAGGTGCCGGGCATTCGGTCCTGTTTTTTTTTTTCCTTTTCCTTTTCTTTTACTCAAGGTTTTGCATATCCTCTTGTGCAACCCTTCATAAATCGGTGTATAAAAAGGACGACGGAATTATATATTTTTTTCGGCCTTGAGCATTTGTTACTGTCCGTCGGCTTCACGTGATCTAGATTTGCCCGTACAGAGCATACGTCGCCTCCGCAAGATGGGAGGAGGCAAAAGAAGGTATGCCCGTGCGCAATATTCGTCGTCAGAATACGAGTGAGTGGTATCCCACTTCATTAGATCGCATATATTTCCAATACGGAGAACGCAGAAATGCAGTTGCGCCTCGTTTTGCCATCTTTCGTCCTTGTAGACACATGCTTCGTGTGCTGATACAATATATGGGCATTGCTCTCAAACGGAATCTTTCCTCGCAATCGCTTTTTTGCCCCCATTTTTGTTCTGGCTTCTGGATGAATCGGGGACTATTGATAAGGCAACCTATATTTAGCTAGCTACTTACGGAGATAGTGTTTATATAGGCTTCTGATTAAGGTAGCGGTCCGGGGATGTATCGGGGATCATTGACAAAGACAACCTATATTTAGCTAGCTACCTACGGAGATAGTGTTTGTGTATATAAAGAAACCAAGCATGCCTTACCTCGGTAGGTTCCTTGTATAGTTCGTTAAATTTTTCCCAGTTGAGAAGCTCAAACTCGAGAGGCGGCAGCGGTGATGTCATGTTTACGAAAATCATCCAACCTCACAACACCGCGAGACTCGGTGCTACCAGCCATTCCCACCACGAACGATTTGCATGTTAGAAGTGCTAAGTGAGACGGAATCACAGGGTATATTTTTGAGAAGGAGAAAATATCGTATATACAAATATGGTTAAGAAATCCCACTCAATTTAATGTGGTTACAGAAGGATTAAGTCGCCAATAAAGCACCGCATACATACCCTTGGTCGTCTCTCTGGAATCCATTTACCGTGCTGTTGCATCCTTCGGCAGAGTCCCTTTATCTCCTCCATTTCTCCCATATCTACGTTTCACTAGGGTGGTCTCCAGACACCGTGCCTGAACCGCGACCGGTTGTTTGCATGTTTGCAGACCTCAAGTCAGAAGCCGCTGGTGGTTGTTCTGGTAGAGGAAGATTGGCTTTCCGCTGGTCGATTTCTGCAGCTTTGTCAGTTCGGGAGTCGATGATGGACTGGTCAAAGCGGGTTAGTTTATGGGCAAATAAAATGCAAAAGAGAATAAAATATAGATACCTTCATCGCAGACACGTTTGAATCCTTTGGAATGGTCCCTCCATGCCGACCAGCGGTTTGTGATTCCGCTTGGCGGGTGTCTTCTTTCGTGGTGTGGAATGTTTCGTCGGTGCTCGGACATGATGAGTGTCGTCGGGTAATTATAAGGATGTCTTGTTTGGAGGAATTATGTGGAAGCAAAGTAGAGAAACAATTGGAGTACTGGCTCAATCGATTTCAGTTGACCAAGTATGCTATTTCTGAGATAACGCACGGTATCTGTTAACCAAAGAGAGAGAGAGCATTTATATGCTACTCCTGGCTCCCATTATGCTGGGTTCAGAGCAAATGACATCAGTGCTACCCGGTTTCTTCACTTGCTCACAAACTGCTGCAAGATTCGAATGAAACATTAACATGGCCGTTTAGATGATTGCAAGGTGGTGGCCACATGGTAAAACTAGTAAAACTTGACTTGAGCTCCACTTGCGCGCATCTTGATCAAACGATTGTTTCATCAAAGGGGGAGAGAGCTGGACATAATCTGTTGTTGCTCAAATGTCCATGAGCTGTAAACTCATGTAACCACTGTGATGATTGAACCTGAATCATGCGTGAACGTGATGGTTTGAATATCAAGCACTTTTGCAGCAGCAACACTCTTCAGGGCAGGTCAAACTGAGATGGACTTTTGAGAGGTCTAAATCACATTCCATGCATGGCTTATATTCGTTCGTTTCATATAGCCAAATGACGGACCGCGGAAATCAACCCAACCCAGGAGTGGTTCGACGCGATGATTATTTGGTCTTCCCTTTTGTGTGTGAAAATGATGTTGGGATGATGTAACCACAAAACTGTAAATTACGGTTCGCGCCGCTAATTTTTCAGCCGAAGCCGAAATTTATGTATGGACTCAATATCAAAAATACACGAAAGCTGAAAAGCTCTGCGTTACTCCTGCGCAAAAATTTCCCACAGCTCGACCAAAATAAATATTTTACCTGGGATGCTCGTGCTGTCTTTTTGAACACTCATTTGCCTTGTCAAAACGATTTATCCTATGCCTGGCGATCCATTAATCGGGCTGGTAGGGAAACCCTCGTCCGGAAAGTCAACTACTCTGAATAGGTGAATATGGATGATACAACTTATATCAAACCAGCAATGGAATATGTTTAGAATCAACCTATCTGACACAGCAATCACAACAGTTTGACTGATGCTTCTTCTAAAGTTGGTATGTTCACAATATTGCCTGTTTTCTACAAACCAATGCTTAATGAAACATTTCTGTAGGAAATTTCCCGTACGTCCTCGACCCAATACCCTCAACCCCTCTCTTTTCGAGCACCCCTTTTTGATACCCGGTCCTCTACGCTTTAATCTTTCATAACTGAAATACAAGGATAGATTCACAACTATTGACCCCCAGCGCGCCATCGGTTACCTCCAAGTAGACTGCGCCTGCAAACGCTATAATCTCTCGGATATATGCAAACCGAATTACGGTGGTTGCCATGAGGGTCGCCGATCTGTCCCGATTGAACTGCTCGATGTTGCCGGACTTGTCCCAGGAGCCCATGAAGGCAAAGGCCTCGGGAATAAATTTTTGGATGACTTGCGCCATGCAGATGCGTTGATACATGTGGTAGATGTTAGTGGGACAACGGATGCAGAAGGTTGGTTAAATCAATCCACAAACATTGCGCAATGTGCGCAAATGCAATAATATCATCAAAATGTGTGGATTTGGATGGACTGAAGTGAAAGGGTTCCGACGTCAGGGAAGGCAACCAGAGGGTACGACCCATCACAGGATATTGTGTGGTTGAAATCAGAGATAGTCAACTGGATTCTCGGGAATCTGATGGAAAAATGGTACCGCTAATTCTTCCCGTGGATTTTTGGAAGCAGGAACTTACAGGTTGGCAGGGGCTCCATTAAGCGACGGCATACTGCAACAAGTACGGCATTCCCCGTCTGGCACTCGAAATATCTACCTCTGACAGAGAATTAGAGGCAACGGCTGCCGAAACGCTTCAAAACCAGTTCTCCGGTTACGGAAGCACGTCGAAGCTTGTCATGCGGTTTCTTGATCAATTAGACATAAAAGAGCCGCTTCAAGAGTGGTCGAACGAAACGGTAGAGCGGGTTGTCGTCGCTTTTATAGACGAAAAATTCCCTACTGTTCTCGCACTAAATAAAATCGATCATCCAGATGCCGACAAGGTAAATGAGGGTAGATCTTACAAAACCTTCTGACGCTCTGGCTGACTTTGGAAACTCGCAGAATATAAATAAAATTGCCAAAATGCATGATCCACAGTCAATCGTGCTGTGCTCTGCCATATCAGAAGTCTTCCTCCGAAAACTAGTCAAGCAAGGCTATATCAAATACATCGAAGGGAGCGATTGCATAGATACAAGAGAGGATCTTATAGAGATGGGCGATCCCGATGGCGGTGGACTCAAAGAAATGGGCGATAAATTAAAGAAGTGTGCTAATAACCCTACCTTGCCCCTCTCGGTCTAATATTTTACCCCCTATGATACTGATTTTTTATAGTCGAGTGGACAATCTCAAGGATTTAGTCCTGTATCGGTTCGGCTCTACAGGCGTCGTCCAAGCTCTCTCGCGGGCTGCAGAGTTGCTTGGCTTGGTACCCGTTTTCCCAGTCCGCAATATTCATACATTTGCATCCGGAACGGGTATACGGAATGGGGTTTTCAAGGATTGCGTACTTGTCAACAAGTGAGACCCCACGACTGGAATGCCTGCAGATTCAGGAGAATATTATCAATTGCTAACCTTATGTAGGAATAGCACTGTTGGCGATGTAGCCCGGAAAGTAATGGGCGATATACCAATAGCTTATATCGAAGGGGCAGGAGGTACAAGAGTTTCAGAAGATGAAATAATTTCTGTTGGAAATTACGATGTGAGTAGTGTGCATGTTGAAGACTATCATTGCTTCTCATTCCCCATCTAATTTCATTTTCGAAATCTCTAGATTTTATCTTTTAAACCTGGCCGATGATATCCTTATGATAGCGTTAAACCGGGGTAATAATACTTCTGTTATTCCCCCCCCCCGCGGCTGGTCAACCCACAAAAAATAAATAAATACATAAATAAAAATAAAAAAGAGGCTCCAAAACGCCTCGCATGAGTAATGAATTGCTAGAGCAAGGGCTTCTCCGCAATTAGAATCCCAAAAGGCCCCCAGATCCCCACAGATGCTTGCATAGCGAATAACCTAGGTAGCATTCTTCTCAAGCACCTTCCTGTAATTGAGAATAATGTTAGCCGTATATTGTTAAAGAGAAAAATGGAAAGGATACAGAAATCCCAAGCCGAACAAAACTACCTTGCCCCTTTCATCCGTCATTCCAATAATTGGATCTGGAGCCTCAGGAAACTCCTTCTTCGTCTTCTTGGTTGAGTTTTCGTGATTTTGCTCCGTTATGGCCTGACTCTTGGATTTGTCGGATCCATTTTGAGCCTCCTCTTCTTTTTCCTTCAAACCGCTGGTTGAGCCCCTTGTCATAGGATTTGTCGTGTCGCCGCGTTTGCTCTGCTCCAAACTGTTAACTTTTCCTGTCGAGCCGGTCCATGCGTAACGTATTCCTGGACAGAGCAGCTTGGTCAGTAGCGGACGATGTGATAATCCTAACATAGGGAGAAAGTGTTTTTGTTTTAAACATAGCCATCATATCGTGATACTCTTTGTCGATAAGAAAAGGATGATAAGCAAATCTGATTCGGTTGAAGACAAAGCCCGCACTATGACGTCAGCAAGGATTGTCTCAGATTACCTGCCTAATTCGGCATTCCCTGGAACCTCATCGCTTGATATCGACTAACCGCATCGAACATCGCAAAGCATCAGAACGTCAATTTCATCACAATCCTAACTTGACCAATGACATGTATAAGGAAGTCCTGATAGCAACGTATCTGCAGTTCGTCTCCATAGCCATATATCAGCATGAGACGAGAAACACTTCCCATCGATGCTCTTGCTGCTTGGACCAGGCTCAACAACATTGAATTCCACGGTGTCGAAGTGAAACGGTTGGAAACGGGAGATGGGGTCGATAAAGGCTCTGCCGTCGTTTCGACCGAAACCATATCAACTCAGCAGATAAACGCGGAGGCACAAGCTCAGCCCAAGATTTTGATGACTGTTCCGCGTGATCTGATCCTCTCACTAGAATCAGTGGAAATTTACGCAAAGTCAGATAGACATTTGAAAGAGGTATTAGATGCCGTAGGTGATTATGCCAGGGTGAGTTTCTCACTTATTGGGGGTCTATCCTCGTGCTATCGACAGCGGATTATTTTTTCTTTGCCCTATGTCGCCCAGAGGAATGATTTGTAATTAGTATACAAGGCAGTTTCTGATATTTGCAGACAGCGCGAGGGGCTATATTGATATTCCTCCTTGTCCACATTTCATATTCAGACGCGGAACTGTCATCAAAGGAGCATATCAGAATGTCCAGCGCATGGACAGAATATGTAAAGTTTCTTCCAGAACCACTGCCACTTCCAACCTTTTATACCATCGAGGAGCGCGAACTTCTACATGGCACCTCGCTGGAACTGGCGCTTGATGCGAAAATTGCCTCTCTAGAGAAAGAATTTAATGATCTCCGTGAAGCTACCATGGATATCAAATGGTGCAACCGATATTGGTGGCATGAGGAGACTGGCCGGCTTACGTTTGAGGATTGGAAGTTGGTCGATGCTCTATATAGGTCGCGCTCGCTAGAGTTTCCTGGTATTGGTCACGTCATGGTGCCGTGTTTGGATATGACGAACCACGCCTCCAACGATCTGACCAACGCATTATACGAGGTTGACGGAGGGGGAAATGCCGTGTTACAATTACACTGGGGTCGGACTTTGGGGAAGGGGGACGAAGTAACCATCACGTATGCCGATCCCAGAGAAGTGATTACCTTATCCCCCCAGGTAGAAAAACCTAGAATTGGACTAACTTCGCCTACACGTGGGTCGATCACATAGGTATGGTGATGAAAAGGGCGCGGCGGAGATGATTTTCTCCTACGGATTCCTTGAAAATGGGCTCACGAAGGCGCGTCAGCTCTTCCTTGACCTCGACATCCCATGTGATGACCCGCTGCTACCACCAAAGAAGGCTGTCTGTGACGATGCCCCTGGATTCCTCCTATTTTCCACAGACTCAGGAGCCACGGATTGGGAGAGTCGGTTTGTTTGGTGGTGCTGTGTCAACGAAGAGGACGGCCTAGAGTTTCGCGTTCTACAATCTAACCAGGGCCAACGCGAGCTCAGGGTTTCTTGGAAAGGAACTGACATCGGCCCTTCTGAGCCTTTAGTTGAGCAGTTGAAGAAGGATCCCATGTGGGAGTTGTTTCAGCTACGAGCAGTTGTCATACTGCAGGACCGCATTACGAATCAACTTGCGCGTCTACGCACAAGCGATGAATATGTGCGGCGGTGGCTTGAGTATGTGGACGAAACGATCATTCGCCGTTCGGTTTGGGATACTGCAATTAAACTCCGGGAACTAGAGGGAGAGCTTCTCGAGGCTGGGCTTCATGACATAGAAATCAAGGTACCAAGTTCCTCACATTGCTTTGCCGTTCTGCCACCTCGTGTCTTGTCCCTACTTCCCTACCTAGGTAATCCACTACCTAGGTACCTAGGTACCTAGGTGTGGCACGTTGTATTATGTGCATTTGATCCTTTTGTCCTGACTAACAGACAAACTCGCCGGAAAACGGCGGCTTGGCATACCTTTGGACAGAAACTACAACTTTTGAATAGGGAACCCGTGAGGGTCTATTTAGAAACGCAAAACCCGGGTGCAGGCATTACGGAGGATTTTTCCTAATTCTTGTTTTTCTTTCATTGACTGCTTCTGATTCACGGAATATGGAATCAACCAAGAAATTTAGCAGAATACAAAAATATGAAAATAGTGGCCGATTTACGTGCCACTTAGCCTCGCATTGGCTTCCCAAAGTTTCAAGGGGATCCTGCTCGTCTGATTAACGTGATGGCAAATATATATCGGTATCGATACGAAATCACAAATGTTTGATATGTAAAGTTATAGAGTAAAGCTTTATTTAAAATTTAAATTCTGTTTGTTAAATTGTAATATATAACCTATAATATAGTAAACTGGTTTATTTTTAATACCAACTTTTTAAAAATATAGTTATATTTAAGAAATAAGAAATTATTAAAATGAAATATTTCTTAGTAGTTTTTACAAGCTTACTTTGTTAATAATTATATGAATACTATATATTTTAATAATAATAGCTCTAAAATAATAAAGATGACGACTCTTCATCTGGCTTCGGAATGGCAGGCATCTCATGATTCAATTTTCTCGCTGCACAAGCTCTCTCTTGATCTCAATTCCTGCTCTTCTCAGGTTCTCGATTCTGTCCGCGTACAAAATTCAACTTCATGAAATATAACTACCATTTCCCACCCCGATGAACCGTCCATTTCATGCAAACTTCAAGCCATGGGTCTGCCCTCACCACAAACCACTCTCATCGCATAAACCCCTCAATTCACGCCCTCCGGCAGCCAGCCGTTTTCCCTCTCCCTATATCCCGTCATGATACTCCCCACAGCAATCTGCCATTGTCCAAGCATCACCTACCTGCAAGACCAACCGGCTGAAGTTTGCGTACCTTTCGGCGCCAACATCCGGCCATGTAAGCTACCCCAATCTCAAGCACACGAGAGGTATCAATACCACCGCCGGATCTGTCACACACACCGGCATTAGCGGCTGTGATATAATATATGCTGTACATGATGTTGAAGCAAGTTTTGAAGGGGGCGCCAACAACTGCTACTGTTTCTAATCTAACGTCAATCATGCCAGCTCATGCCGTCTGACCCTCGCGCAAAGCACAATATTCGCGACTTCTCCATGAAACTCTGATTATGAACCGAAAGTTCAGTTCGAGAACCCCCATTTAAATGTATAATGCCATCTGCATGTCGCTACATGATATGCCACGCTTCAAGTGAGATAGTTTCATCGACAGAAGCGGTTTCTATTCTGTCAAATTGCACTAAATATTGAGTAGCACATGTGTCAGCCTTCTGGTGTGCTTCGGAGATGGCTTCTGCATCACACTCATCATGAAATCTAAGAGACCTGAAGGCCCGTATATCGGCACAATATACAGACATGGAAGGGAATGGCTGCATAGCATATACTGGGTTTGGTGGTGTAGCCTGAAAACCGCCAGTAGACAAGACAATGAAATACAGCCCTGTCACTTGACGGCATGTTGAGAGTTCTAGCTACATCTTGCTGAACCCGAAATAGAATCCTTTCATAAAGCGGCATTTGCGTGGACCTCCGTGATGTCCAACCAAAGGGATGTATGCATATCCAGTTCCAAGTAAATCCTTGTTTACAGGGCGGGAATCTTTCCCGTTTCAAGGTCTTGATTGAATGGCGAAGGACAACGGGACTTTCTCTCCACCCGACGGTTAGTGGTATGACTCTTTTTCATCCTCTCTTCCAAAGCTCCGTGCAGCAGGCTGTCCAATCAAAATACCAGTGCGAGAAGCTGCTTTCCTTAGCACCCCAGCGGCCTCGACGAGAAACACCCTAGAGCCGGGGCTTGAAGCGCCATCAGCAAGGGGACTTCACCTTCCAAAAATAATTTCCGCGCCGCACAAGCCAGGGGTCAAGGCGGCAGTCAAGACAATTTCAAATGCATATGTTTGAGCAAGCTCCATATGACATTGAACGTGCAGTTGTGCCGCTTGGCATCCATTAATGCAGTTATGGGAACGCCTCACACAAGCGTCTATAAACCATGCTATCCCAGCAGGTAAGGGGCTCCTGCATCAGTATCTTCTTTCTTACCTTTCTCCGCAAGCAATGTCTCCATTAGCTATTCAATCATGTCTTTTAATTGAATCCCTAAGAAAGCCCCCGCCAGCAGAATCATGAAAGCAGGACAAGAAAAATAACGCTGTCTTGCTACGCAAACCTCAGACTGGGCCAGGCCTGAGCCCGTCGCATACCAGCAAGGCCCAGAGTTCAAGCAAGCTGTCGAAGCCTCCAGAGACTTGGTCCCCCCGGAAACTAAAGACGTTTGTGAAAGATCTGGCATAGCTCTTTCTATCCAAACCTAACAACCGATAAAATATATAGGGAAACTCAACATACCAACAATAATCCGCGTGATCACTACACTGGCGTTTGCTTCGATGATTAGGGAGAAGAAAAGAGCGTGCATTTTCCGGTTAAGAGAGAATAGGTTGGCGGGAGGAAATCGCGTACGTTTGAGCATACAGGAGGAAACCTGTTGGATCCTTGAGCAGTGGAAGGATAATGGAGTGGACAATGTTGAATCGTTGCGTTAGCTCAATATAAATAAAATACACCCTGTTCGTTTCAGTAATTGAGTTGGTGGAACCATGTGTCTTCCAGGAGCTGGCCGGCGGTCTGATTCAAGAGGAAATCCGGGTTCTTAAGTAGTCGTATTGTGACTCTAGACTGGTAGTAAAGACAGGAGGGGACGTGGGGCGCCTTGTTATCACGCAGTAATATGCATATACTACTGAGGCCACTTCCCCAGTGGCCAATGCATGCAGCATGAATCGTCGTGTTATGTAGAGGCCTTTGCGCAACTCATTCAACGAGGCGCGGTTGTTTTTCCAAGAACACATCAGCCTCATTCAGGAGAAGTATGGAATTGAGATGTTCGGCTGCTTTGAATATAACTATCCATAATACTAGCCTCGAAATTTGCCAGCATCTGCACAACGCAATGCATTTGCAGAAGAGCGCGCCTTTAGCAGTCTTGGCTGCCCATTCGACTTTGTTACCAGGGCCTAACACCACCCTCTCAGACCACTTTAAGCTAATTAATAGCAGCTCTAATAGTTACTTGACCGACGCATGTCATCCAATATTGAACCAATGTGAAAGACAGAACAAATTAAACTGACTACGGCTCATTTTCATTTCCGTAACCGAAGCATACCATCTGCCGCAACGAGAAATAGTATCCCGCAAGATCACGCACTGTCTGTCTAAGAGTCATCACTCTTCGGCTCGCTTCCAGAATCAGATAAACTGGTCTGTACCCCTGCCCTGCTTTGATCACTCATTCCTCAGCCTTTGCAACTGCATCAACGGGCGACTGCCTGTGCTCCAGAAGGAATGATTGAATTGCGGCCGGGCTGAACACATCTTCTGGTATCTTGAGAGCAAATGCAGTCACAGGTTGTCCAATCATTTCAATGTCTTCTTTCAACTGAATAAAGATCAACACTGAACAAGTGAAAGATTATGTAACTAGTTTTTTGTCAGCAAGCTGAAACTTGACACATGTGTTGACACGGCCAGGTCGAATGAGTGTCTGATCTGGATGATAGGGGTGATTGGTTGTCATAATTAGCACCCGACCCTTTCTGCAATGCTACACCATCTATGACATTAAGAGGACCAGACAGGTAGAGCACTAGTTACCCCAGGTTTGTCGTTCTTCGGAGGGCATGTCACAATGTCACCAGTAATTTCCATTTTGTTTACAATCCATGTTGTGCCGACAGCATCAATGTCTTCCAGAAGAACGACGGGAACGTGAAGGAAGCTTGGCAAACAGAACTGCGCAGGCGTTCATCGTCGAGAGATGAAGGATTCGGGTATATAAATATCCAGCCCAAACAGCCCTGCGAGGGCAAAGCTTAAACTGGATTTACCGGTTCCAGGAGGCCCATGAAGAAGCATTCATTCGCTTTCCCCAGGGAATGCCACATGCGGAATACCACGCCATTGTCTTTTCATCAAGGAAATTTGTAACATCATCCAATGTGGTTTGTTTCCTTTTCAGTCATGATTACCGTGGAAATTAGTCTAATGTTCTTGGCCTTTGTCTTCTTCCTCTCTCCATTTTCATTTTCAAAGACAGACAGTCTCTTCAGAGTTGCCTTCAAGTACGCTGTTTCTGCAGTTATGAAAAAAGTTTCTTAGAACTTTCGAGGACCCGAGGAGGCAGTAAACAGAAATTTCTAGACGCTGACCGGAACTGGGTTCTTTTTCCGTACATCGAAACCGGAGTATATGTATTTTAGAGCGAAAGAAAAATGATCTGTTCCAAGGCGCAACGTGCAAAGATTTCTGCTTGTGTGTGTTTGAGGTATGGCCAGTGTATATCTTTCTTTGTCCAGTGCTAACGCTGACGAGAGGAGAGCGAGTTTTGTAGGCGAACGCCTTAATCGATACTCAGCTGACAAGTATATCATATACTTCAGGGAGACACGGACGGTTGAAGCTGTGGATGATCAGAAGGACAACTTTTCATGGGAATAGCCATTAACTGAAATATTTCTCCACCACATCCGTTGAATAACGGAAGGCATATTTAGCCAAGAAGAGGAACACTTCACAGAGATAGAAAATGCCGGTATAGCTGTTAGCATTGTCCTGCTAGGATCTGCTGTGCGAAGCACCAGTGATTCCGGGGGAAAAGAAGTCTATAATGGAGGGTTGATTGAGGGAACAGAAAACATTGCTGAGGAGGCAGCACTGTTGAATGTGTCCATTGTAAAACTGGGAATTTGTGGAGAGAAATGCTATTTGTGCTGCCTTACGATAAATCTAGTGAAAGCAGCAATATTTGGAGCCTCCGATTCGGTGGCAAAAGAACCTCTACAGGATTGAAGAAGGGATCTTGCCCTCATTCATAATGACTGGAGAACCGCCTCCCCGCATTTCACTACGGTAGCTACGGGATATGCGGTCACCCGGATCCAGCAGGCCTAATTCTAGATCGCTATGGTATGTGCTGCGCAAGTTTCAATGCATGAACAATTCGCCGTTGGTAACCACCACTTTTCGTTGAATACGGAACGTGTCAAGTCTGAAAAGGTTTAGAGATGTAGCAACGTATTTAACTAGTTAATTGGTTGACCAGCTTCTGGAAAATCAACTTGAAGCCCTGTAGTTTAACTAACTATTAGCCAACCAAAACCGACAATCAATTGAATTTTGGGGCGGGAAAGATCCAGAATACCCAGTCAGCGTGTTATGCGTATGGTGGGATTGAATTCAGAGAGGATCAAACCCGATTTCACGGGTTGTGTGAAGACAATAAATGTGGTGGCGGAGGAAGAAACGGGTTGGACGAATGACATTGAATAAAACCCCCAGCTTCATGCCCACCAAACTCTCGCGATTTCCATTGCTCCGGACGGGTAAGATGATCAACAAGAGAGGCGTACCGCTTTTGAGACATGGCGCGCAGACGTTAAACTAGCCGGCACAATCAGGATGCAAACAAACCCCTTGAATGCAAGATGCAACGAGCGATTTACTGCCGAAAAATTTCCAGAAAATTTAACAAAGCCATTGATCTAGTAGTTAACTAGTTACAGGGTCTGTGACTGTGTTTAAATTTCAACCAAAACCTCGCACCAGAATAGAAACACAATTAAACATCGGCACGTTGTCTTCAGCCAAACCAGATCACTTCTATGACTCACGCCCTGAACAGCTCAATCATCGGATTCGTGAAGTTCTTAGCCGCCATATTGCCCTGTGAACCCATCCCCCGATGGGCACTGAACTTCTTTTAGAGGCAAAAGGGCCTGACAGACCTCTAGCTGTGGCTATACGACAGGCGTGCTACGATGGTGCACCGGGTGCTCGTGGCATGCATTCTTTACAATCCTGCTTGCAAGATGGACCGACCTTCGGACAACATTGCGTACACTCTTATCGATATATCATGGCGGTCAACTAAAGCTATCCACTAGTTACCCATATCAGCAAGTCTGATGATCCAGAGAATCGCTCAGAATATATTATGACACAGCACAAGGGCTGGTCAATGATGAGTGATCTTGAAACGTTTCGACAAGGTGCGTTAGCATATCAAAAAAAAAAAAAAAAAAAAAAAAAAAAAAAAAAAAGGCTCGCCGTTGGACAAAGGAAAAGAGAGATTTTTTTAGAGTGGCGAATGAAAGGCTCTCGACTACCTCCTGGCACCAAACAACTTCTGATCTAACACTCATCCTGGATGACTTCGATGAGTCAACCGAGCCTGATGAGTATCGAGATGCCCAATGGAGCTTTGCGGCTCCAATTAAACACGGAGAAGAAGAGCCTAGGGAAAATCCCAAGGCGCTGAAAATTCGCGCCCCTGAATCCCCTTGGCACAGCCGGCGACGCGGCCAGCCAACCATCTGGCAATAAAACTCCTATGCTCCCAAACTGAAGCCAAAGCGCAGAGATACGGTTGATCAATCCTGCTTTCCGTATTTTTCTCATGGGAATTAGCGTGCTCACGGCGAAAAGCACTCCGTGCGTGACCTCGAATCAATTTTCTGGATGCCCTTTTGGATATGCATTCACTATGATGGCCCAGGGAAGAGAAGAGTTGTGGAGAACTTTGGAGCAGTGGAACTCTGTTAATATGGAGCAGCTGGCTAACGAGAAGATAAGAGTGATCAGTGATGAAGAAGACTTATTCAGAATTGCTAAAGACCACTTCACTTCCTGTGATCATCAGCCCTTGATCCCTTGCGTCAACCCTCCTGCACGTAGCGACTCATCTGCAGCAGAGTGTCTTTGATTCTGATCTTCTTCTCAGCCTTCTCTTAAGCTCCTCGCCAGCAACCAGAATATCCTTCCAGTTATGTTGTGTATGAGAGTTATTCACGTCTTTAGCTCGCAGGAGAAGATCGACCTGTCGCTCTGCTTTCCAGCTGCAGCGGCCTCAACGCCATCTGCCTCACCTTCTCCGCCGCCTCCTTCCTCTCATCCTCCCTTACCACTCCCCAGCTATCAGTCTTCTTTTACCTTGACGGCCCAGCTGCTGGCTTCATCCCCTCATTGCAGGCCTGTTTCCTCTTCTTACTCTTCCTCTTCTTCTTCTTCCTCCTCTTCTTCTTTCAACAACAGGATGTTAACTATCCTGTTGTGGTTGATATGGGAGATTTTCGCTTCCTGGGGCTCAGGGAACAGTGCTTGCCACTAGAATTGTAGTGGCATTTTGCACAGTCTCCCAGTGACCACACATCACTCTGTAACAGGCCACTGCCCTTTTTGCAATGGTGGCAGGCAGGGCTCTGCAGGCAGCTGTGGGTCTGAGCTGCCGGCACTTCATGATCGGCCAGCTGTTCCAGGTTGAGCTTGAATCCACTCGCACGCAGCACAGGCTCCTTCTGGAGCAGCTGCTCAGGCAAAATGGCTTTTCATTTTTCTTTTGCGGCTGGCTAATGAACTGTGAGCCATGACTTCTCTAATGGTACCTTGCACTTCTAATGAGTTTATGAGTGTAAATATTTCCATATTGCAGAAGATTAATTAATCTAACTGCTACTAAGTCTATATCTATATAATAACAGCTGGCTGGCAGCTGCAACACTTCATTTTCCCTTCACTACAGCTATGAATATGATATGACCGAACAATAGCACTGCATATTCATATTCAGATGTTCAATTGAGGTGTTGCAGTTGCTAGGAGGTTGATATTCATCCTATTTGTCACATGGTTGATTGGTGATAGTTATATCAGGCCGGCCGTAGTAAGTGTAGTGAGCACTCAAGCATGGAAAGTGAGCAAGATGAGTGAAGCAAGCCCGTAATTATAATATAAATATTGTTTCTAAAATCTATAATATTTCTATACAATCCTTTGATTCTAAATTACTATTTACCAATTTTAAGTAAAGATTTAACATACACAGCAAAGATAATCAGTTAAATAAAAGTAAGTTAAATGAACTTAGTGAGAAAATAAAATAAAAATTCTTATGAAAATCCTGTTGTAAAGTGTGGGTTTCCATAACAATTTTTCTTTGCACATCTGCTATCATCATAACAGATACTGAAGCTTTCAAAGCCAGCTTCATCCACCTTCTTGCAGTGAGGGATAAATGGAACCACATTCTTCCGCGCCGACCACTCGCAAAACCCCCTCATCTCACGTGTTTTCTTTCTCCTTGTCCCCCCAAAATCTTCTTCAAACGAAGGTGGGTGGGGGGTGACTTGTTGTATTTAGCAACTGCTATAACGCTCTTAGTTGGCAGTTGGCCCATTGCAAGGTCAATTTCAAGCTCCTGAGGTATCCGTTTATACTTATTTGGGTACATATGTATCTCACTTCTAGAATTTGGAATATACACCTTGAAGCAAAACTGAGAGATATAATCTGTTATGTGACCTTGTATTACTTAGAGCCATCTTACAAAGCTGTTTTTATTTCCTTTTCTTAATTCATTTAATTTAGCTTGTTATGTACAAGCCATTTGATCGCTGATAGAGCTACAGCTTTACTATTATTTTGCGACCTGACGTCCGTTGTTGCTTTTGATATGAGATCTAAAAAGCGAACAAATCGCGCGCGATCGATAAGATAGATCTCTGCAAACGGTCAAATCATTTTTGCATTGACATCAAGCCTTAGGGTGTGTTTGGTCACATCGATAACAAAAATCTCTGGATCATTCGCAAGGCATACCTTCAGCGCTCCCACTCTTTTCAAACGCCATTCTGTTACAATACCCCCATATAGTTTATATACAAAGTTGTTACCTCGACATGCCTCTTTGGGTTGTCAATCAGTGTTAGCCAATCAAAACAATCGATTTTTTTTTTTTCTAAAAACATCAAAGGGATCGTCGCAGTCTGACTCCGAAGGTTTCCATGGGTTTGGTTCCCCGACAAGCCTCCCGCAGCCACAAACCCACCCTCCCTAGCCCTCACACTGGGCCAAATAAATAAGTGAAGTTAGAACCTTTTGGAGAAATTTTCAACATTTAAACTCTCTGGTTCTCATGATTATTGTGGGCCAGAACCACGAAACCACAACGACTCTCATTGGCTTCCCACAAACAGGCCCGATGGCAAAAAAAGATTGAGCAAAGCATGGGTAATTAGCGAAGTTTTCCCGATGTTTTCTGGAGAGAACAAGTTACCCACGAAACGAGCAACTGCCGAAAAAATTCCGACGAAATGAAACTTTAATGCCTTTGTCTCAAAATGCCCTCCACAGCAGCCAGAAGAACTGTACATAAAATTGGACTGACAAGTTTACGTTGGTCAATATATTGGTCCTGTGTGGGGAAGGGTATGATGAACTCATTAAAGAGTCGTTAACTAATAATAGGTAGCCTTCGATGAAGTTGGCGGATGTCTTGACACATACCTAGGTACCCTACAGAGAACGCATATTCTAGGCCATAGAGAATGACAGTAAAATTGCCTATTACGTTCGCTAGGTTAGGGAAACACAACCTGCCCAATTCGAGATATGTAGAGCTAGATCTGAGAAACGTGCCTAGACATTAGTTAACGCGTCAAAGGTCGATCATGGAACCGATATTTACCAGATATAGCACCTCCACAGAACAAGCTTCTTAAAGTCACTCTCCTATGACGCACTCCCCGGGAAATTGGATCTCCGCTTGCAGTCGTCATGTCAAGTTGCTGGGTGGTTTTTGAAAACAAAAAAGGAGGGCAGGGCAGCATCCATGGATGTTCAACCCGGAGGAACAGTGGCTAGTTAAAATGAGTAAGCTACCGTTGCCCAAGCGGTGGATGCGGTTGTTCATGTCACTTCTTTAGAAATCAACGGGTGAAAAAAAGGCGCCGATGGAAACTCTGAAGGATGGGGTGCAAGCGTTATCATCATTATGATTATTATTGCGGGCAAAGCATGACAAGAACAATTTAAGAAATACTCAGGCTTTAGGCCCCCTCCTTCCCCCTCCTTCCCCCTCCTCCCCCCCAACCAGAGCTACTGGGAGTGACCTATCCAGCCACACTAAGGCCTAAACCGGCCCCCCCTAGAGGCTCAGGGGATCCCCCCCAAGCCCCCCCCACTGATGGGCCTTGATTGGTGGTGCTCAAGAAAGCTTCCATTTGTCCGGGGCTTGGCGACACCCAACCCCAGGCTTGCCCCACGATTTCCCTCTGCGGTGCTTTGGGTGCTGGGAGCCTGGGGGCCTTTCCGAAGGAGTGGTGCGTTCTTGGCCACCCGTCACTTTTCGCAGATCTGCTCATTACCACAGACTTGATTTTTTGCTCTTTAATAGAACCAACAACCACGAACCACCGACCGATAAACTCACCCTAAACTGTCCCCGTTTCCTGGCTCTCTCGCCCCGGATCCATTGGGACTTTGTCTTTTGGGTTCCAGAGTTCGCTTATTCGTCGTGGGTTTTTATAGCATCGTCTGACCCTTTGGGTCTCCCATAGTCACTTCCCCTCGCCTCTATCCCACCCCCCCTCCCTCTCATTTTCTGTCGTTGATATTGGACGCCCCATCCCCGAGAGTCTCCACCTATCGTTTGTTTCTAGATTTCTATACCCACAGTTCCTTGACCCATTTTCAGGGGGATTAGAAAAGACAGTACTCCTCGTTTCGTCATCCCGTCTTTCCGTTCTCGTTTGGTGGCAGTGGAAGGAGCTGATTTCTAGAGGCATTATCCACGGAGAGAGAGAAGAGACGGGAGAAATAAAAGAGTTAAAAAGTCCACACCACCTCAAAAGCGAAAAGGTTTTTTTTCTTTTTTTCTTTTTTTTCCCTGAAGGCTCGCCTGACTTGGTTGTCATGCCTGGCATCCTGCCCATGAAGGTGATCAAGGTGGGGAACAGCTCGCAGAGTCGCGTCGCCCAGGCCTGCGATCGCTGCAGGAGCAAGAAAATCCGCTGCGATGGAATCCGACCGTGTTGTTCGCAATGCGCGTATGTCGGTTTCGAGTGCAAGACCAGCGACAAGTTGAGCAGACGCGCTTTTCCGCGAGGCTATACTGAGTCATTAGAAGATAGGGTTCGCGCTCTGGAAGCTGAGGTGCGGGAACTGAAGGGCCTGCTGGATGAGAAGGATGAGAAAATCGACGTATTGTCGCGGTTACATTCCTTTTCAACCTCGCGCAGGGCATCCCTGCAAGATTCGACGGGGTTGGGTGCCTCAAACCGGGACGATTCGTCCAAGTCTGCTGCATCCGAGAAAAGAGATGAGTTGATTCGTGTTCAACATTCCTGCTCTTTGTTGCGGAAACCCACGATAAATGCACCTTTCACAGGTCCATCAAGCACGAGAGCTTCTATCGGTATGGCTTTCCCTCGTCCACCATCAGATTTTTATTCCTGTTTGTTTCTCTACATATACTCAAACGGCGTCTTGTCTAGATGCATTTGCGAGCAAGTTGGAAATTAGCGGTAAATCAGCCTCAGGCATCTCGACGGATGTATTACTCTCAGAGGCGTTTTTGCCTGTTTGGAGTTCTCAAGATTCCTCTCCGCCCCAAAGACGCCAGCCGCGGCTTATAACCGACCAGCTTGTCAATATCTTCTTCCAAGAATGGGCTCCCATCTACCCCGTCCTTCATCGACCGACGATGTTGAAAATTTACGGCGACTACGTTAGTGACCCCGATGCGTTTGAAAATGATAAATACTACACGGCACAGCTGAACTTGATTTTTGGAATCTCCGCAATCTCGGCTTATGTAAGACCTTAACCACCTCCTTAACGGCTCCTTTTTGCGAATGTCATGCGCTAATTTAAGCCCACTCACCCCAACAGTCCCGTGTTCCTCAGGATCCCACATTCTTCGAGCTGAATTGGCAGCCTAGGCTTGATGCTCTCGCCCACGACGTCTCCTTGCCAGGCCTCCAATGCTATATCCTTGCTCAGATTTACTACAGCATCAAAGCCGATTACAAGAGCCTGTTGCGCTACCGTGGTCTCGCTGTAGGAGTGTGCCATCAACTTGGTCTCCATCAAAGTCAGAGGGGGTTTTCATTTACCTTCCTCGCTAGTGAAACAAGAAAGAGGGTCTTCTGGTGTCAATATGTTCTTGATCGGTAAGTTCCTCAAAAACATAAAAGGCTACCGCTGCGTTTACTGGGTTATATATTTATTGCTAACTACTTTCCTCAGTTTTGCGGCTGCTCTAACGGGATTACCTGTTTTGATGCTTGAAACAGACATTTGTGCAGAGTATCCAGCCGATATTGATGACGAAAATCTCACGGACAGCATCGTCCCTACGTTAACCGGTGAATTAACGCGCATTTCAAGCGCTTTGGCCTTGTTCTCAGTGTCACGAATTTTAAGCAAAGTGCTCGCTCAGCTGTATCCTTCACCATCTGGTTATGATGTTTCCTTGTCGACTGTTCATTCCCTCGCGAAGGAACTTGACGAATGGCAGCAAGGACTGCCGCCGCATATTCGCCTCGAGTTTGCGCAGGATAAACCCAGCGCTAATGTTACCGGAAACCGCTCACCTATTCTTGTAAGTCGAACCATCCAATTTAACTGTCTCCTGATGCGCTGTTGACACCAGTATCAGTCTATTATATACTATTTTATACGGACACTCATTCGACGACCGGCTGTTTGCTTTGCCCAACAAAATACCACGTCTCCTTCGTTACTTGCCCTGGTTGATTCGGGGAAGCATATTATCCAAATCATTCAGCTTCTTGAAGAGAGAAGACTGAGCCTTTCATTTGCCATTAACAGAAGAGAATTAATAGTGCTGGCCAGCCTTGGGTTGCTATGGCAGAATATCGATCTTGGGCCCGAATGCAAGCTCGTGAAGGAAGCGCAAAAACTTCTTTCATCAGCTGCTTCACTAGTGGAATGCGAATCTACAGAAGCGGCGGCCGAATTTACTAACATCTTAAACCTTGTTTCTCCGCTCGAGGATTTCAAACATGTTAAGTCAGAACATCAACAAAAATCAAACCCGGAGATGCCAGGCCGGTCCCCGAAATGCAGGTCTCCCAGGAAAGCCCCGTCTCTGGAATCACGCCACTCCTTCACCTTGGGCGCTGGGCGATCCAAGGATAACGATATGCGCAGAAGTACTGTTTCCAAGTCCATTGCGAACTCAAGTCCAGAACTATGTCCACGGAGTATCCGGTCTTCAAGCTCTGTCAGCATCTCCTCATCAGCGAACCCGGAAATGACAGCGGTAACCCCTCGCTCCTCGTCTGACCTTCCTTCAGAGTACCTCAACCTGGATTATCTCCCACTTGGCGACGAGAAAGTTGAAATGAAAACGACCCCCACACCCTCCAACACTTCCACACACGGCTATGCAGTGTCTGAGTGGGATAATGTCCTTGGTGACATGGATAGCGGACACACAAACATATTCAATGGAATCTATGGCGGCGGGGAATGTGGCGATGTTGGGGCTGCATCATTTTCTGGTTCCCATCTCACCCCAGCTTTCCAGTATCCACAAAACCCCCCTTCGTCAATGTCTGTCCCACCAACTTCTCATGAGATGAAAGCCTGGTCACCTGAAGGATGGTCATCCTCCTCGAGCAGTGACATGCACCCCCAGTCAGCACCTAGCGCCGTGAGTTATTCTGAGGATACCATGGGAGCTATGGACGAACTGTCACCGCCGGCGACGATTGGAAAAACATGCGAGATGATGACCCAACAAACAACCTCCCCACCACCCCCTCCCCCACCACACCACGAAGGGCTTGATGGTATCCAGATACCTCAGAGCCTCGGGCCGCTTGATCACCCTCCTGATTTCGGTGGTGGTGGTGTTGTTGATGCCTGGACTCTGCGCCAACCGGCATGACGTCATTGAAAAAGATAAGAGAAAACTTGACTCACAGCCGGTTCAATTATATCTTTCTCGTTTTATTAAACGGGACACATGTGTACTTTCAAGTAGTACAGAGACGGGAAACGAATAGTTTGCTATAGTTTCATTTCATTTTTATTTTTTTGACCGCTTGCTGCTTGCTGTGCCCTGGACATACCACGATTTCTGCGTTGCTTTTCTATGTTCTGTTATTCCAGTTCTCTTCCCCAGTCCCTATTGAAGTTTTCTGTTCATATTTTTCCCTTCAGCCCCCATTTCTCCCCGCTTGCCTGTTTATTTTGAACTTTACATATATTTAATGGCGCGACGGAGCGATGTTAGGTTTGGGTAGCTGGGATCATGCGGCTATATCTATTTAATACCAAGCGTATAGAACAGTGCCATATTTGGTGAAACTTGAGTGTGTTTGTTGGCACAATTGTATTGGTATTTTGTCTTTTATTTCTTGTGATCTGATTTGCTTTTATTAGGGGATATTTGGCAAATGTTAATAATGGCTAATAAGTCAACCTTTTCTATTCCCATTTCTGCTCTTAGATTTTCCCCTTTGTTAGACCCCGCTGGCAAGCACGTATGAGATGTTTTTTCCTAACGTACTGGACTTTTTTTTATACCTTGCACTTTTGTGACTTGTAAGTTCGTACAGTGCATGTACCTTGCTACTTGATAATATTGATCTTCATATGTGTATATTCAGTTGGTATCTTCATTTCCATTAATTTATTAGTAGTTAAATCTTTTACATTTTCTTATCTCTTGCTGTTGTTTTATTTTTCAAAATATCAGTGAGCTGAATCTTTTACATTGATCTCTCACAACAGACAGCTTAGATAATAATTCACTTACACTTAACTATAAACCAAATAATAAGACAAGACATGTTAAAATTACAACATGTAACTGTGGGATCTAGTTCTAACTGTGTTGTACATACGTATGCATATTTGTGCTATGCTGCAGAAGAACATCATTCAAAATCTCTCAGATCAGATGAATCTTCCATGTCTAGAGAACAAATTAGGTGCTCTTGACAACTTACAGTTTTAAATATTATGATTTCTTCTCTATGTTTTATGGTTATTTCTATATATACTTTTATCATTGCTCTCAAATTATTGTTTTCACCAGTCATTGTAACATGCTCAGCTTTGGTTAGCTATGTGAGGTCATTTCACTTTCTCTGATTCTAGAGAGCTAGAATGCAAGAGAATGAGGCAACAAAGAGGGGGGCCTGAGATTGTGTATACAAGTCAAACCCTGGAACTAAGAGATATGGGATATTAGGATCGTAGGTAGATTTTAAGTTACCAAGGAGAAAGGTTGAAAAAAAAAAGTGAGAATGAGAGTGATCCATGGGTGAATTCCTATAACTCAGTAAAAGACGAAAATGGAAGAAATTTCTTATTAAAAGTTTGACTGGGAGTTTAAATAACCAGGGCAAAAAGCCAAATGTGAATTTTGTTTCAGCGGTTAATAATATGCTTATTATCTACTCTTCGAATTAGTTACTAAACCATGAAGCCAAACTGGTTAACTTGAAATTAGGAAGATGCGTGTAAAAATCTCCGTCAACTTTATCAAACTTCCCCCGATTTCTTCTATAAAATCAGAATGTCCGCGAATAAACTTTTATTTTTCGTCATTCGTCATCGCCATCATCAGGCATGGCCTCTTTTGGTTACTCTCGGGTCAACCTCGAAGGTTTCATTGAAATAATTCTTCATACTAACCGAACCCCACTTCACACGTTGTCTAAAAGCTTGTCAAAATCCGAGGGACCTAGACCCATCAAAATACAACCGTTTTCCTAAATATCCTTCTAAGTTCAGTATCCTAAGGGTAAGATGGCGGAGTTAATCCTCACTGCTCCACTGAAGGTGCCTACTTGACTTTATATAGCAGTAGGGTTTATACATTCGAAGATATATGTTCCCCATTTTCTTGTTCAGAGTTTGGAATGACACCAAAGCTAAGAAGTACCCTGGGTGCAACCATATACATATATCCCAATTCGACGTTAGCAACTAGTGGGAATGCTCTTCTAATAGAAGAATATGTGGACGCCGGTGAGTCAATATTGAACAGATAACCCGGTGAGGAGATGCTGTAGCATCAACCATATCGGGGATGTACCGTAATCCTAAATCTCGAATACCAACCTTTGAGATGGCTGAGTATTACCAGTCTCAGCCGGACACCGGACCGCACACCGCATGGACCTCGAAAGCCGTTAGCTGGAACTTTCCAATGTTTAGCAATTGCGGCGAGAAAAACATGCAAGGTCTTACCAAAGCAACCTGTCATACCCGATCTAATTGCCCCTTTAGGAAATCACAAGCGAAGCGGGTCCGACTGCGTCAAGTCCGCGAAGTTTCTTTGTTACTTCTTCACTTCGTCTCTTTCTATTGGGGGAAAAGGTACAATTCGAGGATGTGGCGCAACCCCAACCTTCTCGACTCTCATTCGCCCAGGCAGCTCCGAAACATCGCATACCGCAATTAAACTGCTCTAGGTGAGCTCAATCATCGAATCTTAAGGTCTTTTGAATAGTTGCTCTCCACTCCACGCTGGGTGTTTCTTTCTGTGTTTTCCTTTTGTTTCTGAGAGCGAAGCGGTCGTAGCTCCTGCTTCATATAGGTGTATATCTAGAGGCGCTGTGGGATGAGCAAAGGTGGTTCGGGGTGTTTCCTCTCTGGCTATTTTGGCGTGAAGGATGCAAAAGTGGCCATGGGCGTGCGCGATAAGCATTTACAGTGTGCCGCCTAAATGCGGGTACTTCAGCACTGATATAGTGGTTTGTAGTTGTATGAGTTATATGCTATTTGATGATTAGATGATGAATGGATTGTTAGCGTAAGTGTAGATCGAATTAACCTAGCTGCACAGGGAAGATTTGGTTGATCATCTTCATAATCCGACACTCTTATTGTTTCAAGCTTATTTTCTTCTAAAATAGCTGTGAAATGTTTAGTGGGTGAGAAGGACTGTGAATCAAAATTAGAATTCTCAATTTATTTGAACAATACCAATCAAGCAACAAAGGTACGTCAGCTTTACGTGGTTAAAAACTGTTTGGAAATCGATTAAACTGCAACGGAGATAGCCGGGGGCAGGGTGGAGAAAGAGAGAGAGAGAGGAAACACAGGCTTGTCTATTAGACGGAGGAAAACCTTAGCTCGCGTTCAAATATCAGACTCCCTGCTCTCAAGCCCATCCCCAGCCAGTGCCATCGATGAGCTGGACGGCTGATCGGGGTTCTCTCAGGATGGGAAACGTTTTGGAAAAGGATAAACCACTCGCTATTATTCACGTGAAGGAATAAACCCCTTGCTCGATCTGTGCAGATCGAATTGGGAGAAAAATAGGGACGAAGATCATGACGATCTTCCAATGGAGCATGGGAGTATAACCACTGTGTTTCACTTGATTTAGGTGTCAATCCCTGCTTGGAGGAAAAAGACAGGCAATCAATTTCAGAGCTCAGTTTCTGACGATTCTCCCTGTTGTTGCAAAACGTTTATTTCTTCACACCTCCTTTCCTGGGCTGTATGTGATATCATGCTTCTTCTGTGTTCTTGAAGAAGTTGTATACTTACCCCTTTTTGCTGCCAGTTGGGGGTCATCATTATCTCACGTGATGATAACTATTGTTATGCTCTTATTCCTGCATAGTTACACCAAAACGAGTGCATTGAACATTCATACATTGATGTCTCCAGCATGCTAGAGATGAGTCAAGAGCTACAAAGATGTTTTGAAAATAATTGCTTGTATGTATTACATTGTTGATGTAATATAATTATCATTAGATTAATTAATTATTATAATTAAAATATTAAAATATTAAAATAAAATAATTATAAATAACTATTATATTATATTTAAATATTATATATTTATAACATAAAATTATTAAAATTATTTAACTTATTAAACTTATATAAAATTTATTTATTTAATTTATTTATTAAATATAAAAATTTTAAATAAAAGTTGTAAATTTTTCATATAATTTTTAAATATTTTTTTAAATATATTTTCCTATAGAAAATATATATTTTAAAAATATGATAAATTATATAATTTAAAATTAAATCTACATTCAATATGTATATAAATATCATATAAAGACATTGTCAACATATTAATTGCAGGTTTTTAAAGACTTTTATAATGTTGATAGTGCGTGAAAATATTTAGCCGAGATCTAAACTTTACATAGGAAGGCACGTTGGTTAGAGTAGCTGTCGTATTCGCTAATCAATAGCTATCAGAAGTACCAAGATTGCATTGATACACGCTCACCATTATCACATTGGCATTGGGTGAAGTGGAAATGCAGTGGAACCAGCAATGAGGTCATCCGACTTTGAATAAAAACATTTGTGTGCTCTTGCACAAGGAGGGATGGAGAAAGTTGAGCATTTAATGGGTTCTTTTTGAGGCCGCTTTGGCGCATCGTAGTTAAACGCTGGAAGATCCTATGTCCGGGATAGGCTTCAGGCAAGGCGAGGGGCCGATTCCGCCATAACTGCTGAAGCCAGGAGTTTGCTGGTAATTGTTTCCATCCTTGCTTCTCCTATGATTCAGAAGTTATTGTCTGATGGTTTTGGTGATGTCTTATATGCTCCAGGCTCCAGGGTATGTGACATGCAATACTGTAGTAGAGTCCTTCGTTATAGTACCACTTCATGTATGTCTGTCAGTCATGTCTCAAAATTGATGGAAATATGTGGGATGGTTAATTCTCTATTAGCTGGGAGGAGGACTAGCTAGCTATCTAATATACGCCTATCACGTGCGGCGGGGCGGCTGCCCAGGCTCAACAAAATGTAACTGCAGTAAAGTACAGATATAAAATAAACTAGTTAGGTACAGAGTATATACTTAATGAGTAACTAACTAGTTAGTTTACTAGTTAATGTATTTCCCAAGTAAGCACAACACTCAAGTGAGTGCAATATTAATTCAAAATATTTTTTAATTTAATTACTCTTCCACTTCAACATGCAATTATACCATCAATTCATAATAAAAATGTTTTAAATTCTCTAGAGATGGAAGACTTGAACTCATAATAAAAGTTTTTAAAAATTAAGTAATTGCTTCAATTTATAAAGCTACTTGCTTATTTAATATCTTTAATTTTATTTTAATCTATTGACTGAATGATCAATAATCAAGAATGAATTTATATACAAATTCATAAATTATCTTCTGCTGAAGAAAACAAACTAGTTAAATAGATACTAAATCAAACTAAATAAAAATTCTTCTTATAGTCAGCATTGATTGAGAATACAGCTAATTATCTTCTTACTATATAGAATTCAATCATATCTACCATCTCCCCTCTCTGCATTGATAAGAACTAAGTGTCAAATCTAATGATATATTATTCAGAGCTTCAAAACTGTTATTTTAGATACTATAATCATGAACAAACTATGTATAAAAATCAATAAATTATATATGATTAATTTAAGATTTTAAAAAATATAATTACTAAGTATAAAATTCTATTAAAAAATATATATAACTTTGATGAGACTGAATTTACTATGAAAGTTTATATCACTACTAAGATTATTACTAGTAATGAGTGCTACAGCAGAGCAAAACCTTTAATCAAATTATCAAAGTCTGTAAATATAAAATGATTAGTATCACTATTATAAAAAAGCAATATCAGAATATATTCAATATGAATAAGATAAAAAAGTAAAAATGCAAGAGATCTAGATATCAAATTCAATAAGAAGTAGAAGATTTAACTAGTGAAGAAGTTCAAAGTCTTCTAGCTTCATCTGCATCATCTGCAGAGTTAGCAGCATCTGTTGAACAGTTATTTAATCTTATAAGTTCTTATTATCTATGTCTGCTTCACACTGATGAGCTCCACAATGCTGCAGCAATTGTAATATTTTCAGACATACATGACTAACATGTTCTCAACTGCATTTAATTTAATTTAATTTAATTGAGTGTTGTAGTGTTGAGATAATTTGAATTAAAATCTAATGAGTTAAGCTATGGTGATTTTGCTGTTACGCTCACTTGGGAAATATATTAGTTAGTTACCTCTGTTATTATTAATACTGTGTCAGTAATAATCGTAATCAACAGTATGGGACGATTCTGCCCTGTTTGTCCGTCTTGCTGCCTCACCAATCCCAGTATCGTTCAACCCCCAACGTGAGCTTCCAACGTCTTCCCCTCACTCCACTCCATTCCACTCCATCTTCTCTTCTTCAAATTAATTCTTCTGCTGCTTCATATCCACCTCCCTTTCTCTCATCTTCTAATTCCCACTCTCCGTTCTCCACGCCACCTTGATATACCGATTTTAATTTCGTAACTCGGAGATCAGCTGCATCTCTATTACTCCGCACTATTCAAGATTTATTTTACCAATCATGGGGGGCTACAACGACGTTGACCAATTGGCCATCAATACAATCCGTGTACTGGCAGTGAGTATATTCTACCTCTCCACGATCATAACTCAGTCTGCATGTCCAATATCACAAAGCGTTTTGTTCCTGAAATCGAGGAAGATCACTGCGGGGTACGCGGAATAGCTATCATACTCCCTCCGTACCTCCTAATTTCCTTGTCTCCATTACTGTTCTGCATTACTCTGCAAGCCTCATTATTGTTTCAATGTATGCCAATTGCTATCTCTTCTCTATAACAGTTCTAACTCTGGCACTTTCTTTGCCGCTTTCCAGGTTGACGCCACCAGCAAGGCAAACTCTGGCCATCCCGGTGCCCCAATGGGTCTAGCACCCACCGCTCATGTCCTTTTCAATAAATTCATGTCCTTCAATCCAAAGAATCCCCAATGGATAAACAGGGACCGATTCGTGCTCTCGTACGTGCGGTGTTAATAATTTTTTCCCACCCATGTCCCGTTTCTCTTCGCGTTTTTCTTCCGGTTTTATGTCACCCTACCCATTTGCGAGGATACCACCCTTCCTATTTTTTTAGGGGGTGGTGACACTACGACAGGGAGGCTAGATCGTGGCAAGTGAAATTGTGAAGGGGCATAAGAAGATTTAAGCGCGCTGAAGCCCCTAACCCGAACTTTTTCTATCTTTCTTCCGAACATTACGTCACTGCCTCACTTTGGGGCTTTTCTTGCTTCATATAAGACTTGCTAAAACTTTGGGTGCTTCCTGGATAGAAACGGACATGGCTGCATGCTTCAATATGCCCTACTTCACTTGTTTGGATATGCCGTCTCGTTAGATGACCTGAAGGACTTCCGCGTTAGTGGCCCCTAAATGCTCCTTCACTCTGGTGCTCCCGTAATTCAGATGTTAACGGTCAATACAGAAACTTGATAGTATTACCCCCGGTCATCCAGAAGCTCATGATACTCCCGGTGTTGAGGTAACCACTGGCCCTCTAGGCCAGGGGTTCGCAAATGCCGTTGGGCTTGCTATCGCCCAAGCTCATACTGGTGCCGTGTTCAACAAACCCGGATTTGACCTTATCAATAACTACACCTACTGCATCTTTGGCGATGGATGTGCTATGGAAGGTATCGCCAGTGAGGCAGCTAGCACCGCTGGCCACCTTCAGTTGGGCAACTTGATTTGCTTGTATGATGACAACCATATTTCAATTGGTGAGGCGCTCTGTTCTCCACTGCATAAATCACACTAGGATGGTTACTCACAAATATGCAGATGGTGACACCAAAGTGGCATTCACTGAGGACGTCATGAAGCGATTTGAAGCGTACGGATGGCACACTCTTTGGGTTGAGGATGGTAACAATGACCTGGCAGGAATTGAGGCTGCCATCCAAATGGCAAAGGAGGTGAAAGACAAGCCAACCGTCATCAAAGTCACAACCACCATTGGTTTTGGCTCAGAGCTTCAGGGAACTGGTGGAGTCCACGGAAACCCTCTGAAGGCTGATGACAGCAAGGGAGTCAAGAAGCGCTTCGGGTTTGACCCGGAACAGAGCTTCGTTGTTCCTCAGCAAGTGTACGATCTGTACCACAAAAAGGCTGCCGAAGGAGCTGCGAAGGAGCAAGAGTGGAATGCACTTCTACAGCAGTATGCGTCAAAGTATCCTGCTGAACATGCTGATTTTACCCGCCGGCTTTCCGGAAAGCTTCCCGAGGGTTGGGAGAAGAGCCTTCCCAGATACTCCCCAACCGATCCTGCAATCGCGTCACGCAAGTTATCTGAGACTGTCCTCGAGAAAATCCATAACACTATCCCCGAGCTTTTGTCCGGCTCTGCTGACTTGACTGGGTCGAATAACACCAGATGGAAGGATGCAGTTGACTTTCAACCACCAAGCACTGGGCTAGGTGACTGGACCGGTCGCTATCTCCGTTACGGTGTCCGCGAGCACGGAATGGCTGGTATCATGAACGGCATTTCTGCCTACGGAACCCTCATCCCAGCTGGCGGCACTTTCCTAAACTTCGTGTCCTATGCTGCTGGCTCTGTCCGTCTGTCTGCCTTATCACAGGTTCGGGTACTCTATATCGCAACTCACGACTCGATCGGTCTGGGTGAAGACGGTCCGACCCATCAGCCCATTGAAACCCTCGCCCACTTCCGCGCTTTGCCAAACATCATGGTGTGGCGCCCGGCTGACGGCAACGAGACAAGCGCCGCTTATTATTCCGCTTTGACATCGCGACATACCCCTTCCATACTGGCCCTGACCCGGCAGAACCTGCCGCAGCTCGAAGCCTCCAGCATCGAAAAGGCCATCCGCGGTGGATACGTTGCTCTGGAGACCGCAAACGCCAACATCACCCTCGTCAGCTCAGGCTCAGAAGTCAGCCTCTGCATTGACGCCGCCAAATATCTCAAGGAGAGGCACAACATTGTCACTCGCGTTGTCTCCATCCCATGTTTCGAGGTCTTTGATGTCCAGGACAAGGAATATAGGCTATCTGTTATTCCCGACGGCATTCCATCCATGTCTGTTGAGGTCATGAGCACACTTGGCTGGGACCGGTATTCTCACGAGCAGTTCGGTTTGAACCGCTTCGGTGCCTCCGGCCCTTACAAGGAAGTTTACAAGGTGAGCAATCTCTCGACTATCACAATATGAGCTAACCCCTGCCCAAAATTTTCTGAACCAGAAACTAATATCCCTCTTCAGAAATTCGAATTCACCCCTGAGGGGATCAGCAAGCGTGCTGTCGCTACCATCGAGTTCTACAAGGGCTCTCCCGTCCTCTCACCCATCAACCGTGCTTTCCCGCAAATCATCTAATATGAACATCTCGTTAGAAAACTTAATCAAGAAAAAGAAGAAAACTAAATTAATCAAGAAGCACAAATCTTTATCGGTGCTGACTGGAAGTTACGGTGTCATAGGTCGTTAAACTTAAAGATGAATAAGAGTAACAGAAATCGTCTCAAGAGCAGTGGACGATGAAAATTGTTTTTATTTTTTTATTTTATTTTTCTTATAATTATTTATTCTCGGGGTTTGATATTCCCTACCCAATCTGCACCCTGTTTGAAATTTCCCCGATTACTTTTTGACCTGCATAGACTCAGAGATGTTTCTTAGCTTTCAATGCTTCAAAACGCGGAATATGAAGTAAAACTGTCTGCATATTTGTGCTCATGTTCACGCCCACCCTTATACGAGTTGGGAAACTTGAGGGGTTCTGTCTTGTCCTCAATAGGAAATGCAACAATAATAGGGGATAGTTTGGATTATTCCTTTCCTCGCTCTCTTCATCCATATCGATCTTGTCAACTTATAGTCAATTGTGACGATACATGTGCGTCGGCTTTGGCTTATTCTTGTTCCCCTTTTCTCCGACCCATACCCCTCCTTCATCATTAAATGTGGAGATCACTCTACCAAATCATCAACAGTTGGTTGCTTGCTTTCTATGAAAGCTCATTAATTTAGCATATATATGACGCTGCTATTGTTACGCTTCATAAAACACGCTTTGTCCAGCACAAATAATCTGTGGATTCCATTCATTGAACCTACCAGAGGACTTCTGGAATATAATGATGCCTTTGTTCCAGAGTCCTCTCCAATCCAGTAACTAATAACTATCTCAAGAAGAAATAAATGAAAAATAAAACAAAATAAAGGATAATGGAAATGATATAGTTTTGTATTCCCTTTCTCGAAGGGAACCATCATTCGGAATCAAAAGGCTTATTATTATTTGATCGAAGAGGGATAAGGGTTTCCTGCGCAATGCATTGATTCTAATAATTTCGATTCGATTCTGATCTGATCTACCTAATCCGAGTTTGAGAGGTAAAAATATCTATAGATTGATCGAATCTTCCGCCCTCTGTGCGCTTTGGTTTCTATATAATATTTCTAATTACCCGTTCATCCATCTCACTTCGTCATAACGGCATAAATATGCTGCATATCCGCTTCTGTTTCCATGGAAATTTTCAGAATTTCTCCCCCATCCCCCCTCCTCCCTGACAAACCCGATCAATCTCCCACTCTACCAACCCAGTTAACCGGCCCATGCATCCCATCCACATAATATCATAAGTTTGATTAGCTAAATATAAATTAACTAAATCCTAGCCTCATCTCAATCCCCAACATACATCCCCTCACTGTTCCAACGCCTTTCTTGCGAAATTCGGCAATACAAAGCTCGCCCGGTGAATCTCCTTGTTGTAATAACGACACAACTTCTCCTCTTCCTCGCGCGTCCAGGTGCGCACGGGCTCGCGTACATCCCTGCTCGAATCTTTACAGCAGACCATGAACCCAATCTGGCCCGAGGGGTAGGTGGGGATCGTCGTGTAGGCGTACTCGACCACAGGGAAGATCTCGCGGATATTTCGTTTTAGTTCGGTGATGAGAGACAGATGAAGCCATTGATTTTCGGCTGTTGAGGAGGGAAAAAAGGGGGGAGAAGAGGGTGGGATTAGTAATCTGGATTTTGGAGGGATGTGTGGAAGGTTTTGGAGAGGGGGAATGGGGGTGAGGTGAGGCGATGGGAGGTGACGCGGTGGGTGGGGTAAGGGGTGAAGGGCATCTATTAACATCCATTTATGGACGTATATATGGATGCGCCTCCGGGTGTGTTAAAGGCCATGTGCATTTTGTGTGCATGTTTGATTGTGCGGTGCTTTTTTCTTTATTTTCAAGGGTAGCAATCACACGTGCAGAACTGGGGAAGGAGATGGCGACGAACAACCTTGAGTCGTAACGACACCGCCTTCACGCAGGGCGTTGAAGAGCAGCTCGAAATATGGTTTCTGAAACAGAGCCTCCGCCGGCCCTTCTGGGTCTGAGCTGTCGGTGATAATCACGTCGAATTCATTCTTGCGGTCCGCAAGGAACTTAAAGCCATCGCCCACATGGACTGTCACGTTGGGGTGCTGGAAGCCGACGCTCATCCCTGGCAGGTACTTTTTCGAGACGCGGATGACGGCCTGTATTTATTGAGATTATCTTTCGTAAGTTTCTGCTTTCTCTATCTCGTTCTGCACTCTGTTCGAGGAAGGGATCTGCCTACCTCGTCGATATCGCACAGAATAGCCTCCTCGACAGTCTCGTGCTTGACGACCTCACGGAGAACTCCGCCGTCACCTCCACCGATGACAAGGACTTTCTTGGGGTTAGGATGAGAGTTCATGGCGAGATGGGTAATCATTTCTTGGTATCTAGTTAATTGACAGGAATTAATCGGCCAATCGCGTCACAGTAACATCGTGGGAGAGGTATAGGTATTGGCTCCGTGTCGTCTGGGCATGTGTGGCCCGTGCTACATACGAGAATTCATCGCGCTCTGTGCATTGGATAACGTTATCCAGAACGAGGACTGTGCCGTGGTCACTGCTCTCGAAGACCAGGACATCTTGATACTTGGATTTCTCGTGGTGCAGGATCTGGTTAACTTTCAGAGTCATGGCCTGGCCGGGCCACATATCAGAAATTTCCGAAAACCAGCCATCTGGAGGAGCTCCTGTGTTAGCTTATATTGTAGCCCGTTGTGCGCTCTTTACAAGGAATTATCACACTGAAAACCCCATGTCGCCATTTCCAGGGAAGTTAGGGAGGAAGAAGGAGGGGATTGGAAAATCCAGCACCCAAAGGACGAGGAACAACGAACGCACCTTTGATTGTGGGGTGTGTGAGCTCGCTCATTTTGCGGATTTCGTTGGATAGGAGGACGAAGGACGAAGGACGAAGGTACTGAGACAGCGGAGACGAGGTATATAGGAGCAGCAGGACAAGGGGATATATAGAAATGAAGTGAGGGATGGGAGAGAGCGAGATGACATGCGGCGGTGAAGCAAGTTGAAGATCAGGAGGGGTTGGTTGAGTTGTTGTACCCCCCAGAAGAAGCAGTTAAGGTTTGGATTTTTATTTTTATTTTTTTTATTTTTATTTTTTACCACTCAATTTGAGCAAATTACACATTTTACGATACATTACAGAGGATCTGCTGGTTCATATGAATAAAACTTTGGGCTCGAGTATTGTAATCTGATGAGGCAGCACAAGTCACCCTCCACGTTAAATTGGCGGGGAGTGACTTGCTCTTGAATTGGGTTGCCCCAAGTATCTATCTCTAGGACTGCCTGTGTCACTTTTTGGTGCAACACTGGAAGACTCTTCACGCTCTTTACTGCTCTTTGGAGCATTTATGTGTCTACTCCGTACACACACACGGTAGAGATTGTGAAATACTTCCCCCTTCCCTGGATGAGGGTGGTTAACTCGATTCTGGGCAAGATAATTGCCTCGCAGTCAATCAGAACGAACCTCAGCAGGTTTCCAGTCCCAATTGCAAGAGGTCTAAGATAGACTTAAACACTTTGTTATTGGCATCGAGAAAAGAAGATGGAATTGAATTCAAATAGACAGAGCTCCACTCTCCCAGCCGAAAAGATACCCGGGGGGGTACTACTTAAGTAAAGCTAATACATAGAAGATTGAATCTTAATATTCAGCCTGGACAATTGGGAGTCAGAATACATAATTAGCTTCTACTGGCCTAATTTCAAGCATTAGATAATGTTCCTCGCTCCTCAACAGTAGTTATCTATTGACTATTACAAGGTGAATTGAAGCAATCAGCCTTCTTGCTTCGCGATGATACGAGATTTTGGCTAATATCAACTGGCTCGCAAACGCATGAATCCACATCCGATACTGCTGTGGGAATCAACTGGATACAGCCAGGGATTAGAGAAATGGACAGCTGCTTTTTAGGTAAATAGTCAACGCCACCGGCTGGGTTCTACCAGCCATGATTTATATACGCTGTAGTTATATCAAGCCTCTGGTGTCGCTCAGAGCCCAAACTCGAAATAGAAGCGAAGAATAGCGGAATCGCGTACGTATATACGCAGCTAGTTCCAATTAACAAATCATTCAGTCTCCGTTTGATATTTCGAGGACTCTGCTAACTTCCCGTGTTGGAAAATCCTTAGTTCATATCTGATATGAAACGGCATGGGACGGGGCTTGATATAAGCATTTCTGATGCTAATTACACTGAATTCGATTTCAACTGGCAAGAACCTCCTCATTTTACTCGCTTCGCAATTTTCTGTTAGCTGCTGGTACAATGCAACCACGTTGCATTCTACAACTCGATCATCGCGATGTTCAACCCAGAAATGTTGTCCAAATCGGGCAAGGAAAGCCAAAAGCCAAAGCCGTTTTGCCGTCCTCACATGTCGGCTGAAAGCACGTCAAAAATTATACTATGTATGACGGATGTTGATATCCTCAGTATGTCCGTCAGCTAATTCGCGGAAGAGAAATGTTAGTTAGTTACGCATGTTCTGAAAGGCTCGGCCGAATGACACGCGGAGTAGAGAAGGTCAACGAGACATCGGTCATAAGCAATCCACACCACACCGTCTTGTGATGGCGTTATGATTCTCTTCTGAGCCGTCCACTGGTCCATCAGGTTTTTCTTGGGCCAGAAGCAGCGACAGAATTTGGCTATTCTTACAATACAGATAGTCTAGCCATATTTCCATATGTATTATTAAAAGATGCAGCATCGATGGCACATGCTTCCGACACATCGTGCAAAAAAAAAAAAAAAAAAAAAAAAAAAAAAGGGGGGGGGGGGGGGGGGGGGGAGCCTTGCACTTAACAACATTCAAACAGCATACATCATCTCTCAGACATTGAAGGATACGAATATCCTTCACCTATCGAATGCCTGAATATTAACATGGCGAAGATCAAGGAGGCAGTGCACAGAGCCTCCCCGAACAAGGCATCCTGCACCAGGCGCTTTATATGCTCCTCCCCAGCCTCTGCAAGCTCTTCACATTATGATGAGGGAGGCCACATTTTCGGGAGATGTGGTTTCCCCCAGGGTAGCTGGCCGTCAGCGGAGACCACTTTTTGAACGTTACGGCTTCCTGCAAAGAAACTGAATGGGCTCTACCATAAGTTTTCTTATTCTAGATGAAGGCAACGCGCTATGCCGCCGACTGTCAGAATTTCCCATCACTTCGCAACTTCCATACTCTTCTTGAATAATTTGGGTATTTCAATCTCATCGATCGATTAGCTTTTCCAGTGTTTTATCGGAATTCTATCTGGCAGCTAATATACGTCTGGAGTCTGGCTGAAGAGTCTGACTTGATTAAGAAACTTGCTGGTTTGACCCAGTCTAAAACTACCAAACGTGCCTACATCAGGAGGTACTATTTCATGGCTCATTTGATTCAGTCGCACAGGCTATCACCTGTTGATCATTCAGCTTCACGCCTGCAAAATAGTTCAGATCTCAGATCCTCCTCATTGATCTCACTGCCTGCTGTCGTCAGAAAGCTAGAGGATCCCCTCCTTTGCGGTACAATTCAGACCACGATATGGCAACTTGAGATCAACTCATTTCAGAATTGCAGCGTCAAAGTTCCTCATTGGATTGGTGGGTGAGAAAGAGCGTTCCAATTTAATGCTCGAGACGCCGGAGAAAGATGGATACAAGACGATTTCTCTCCAGCTGCAGAGGAGAACGTCCGTGTGCAAATACATCCGCATTGTCAAGCGGGGGAATCGCATTCCGGTGGGTGAAATAGCTAGAGTAAACCCGAGCAATGTAGGACTGAGATTAGTTGATTTTCTTCCTCCATCTCCGGTGGATCCAGCCCGTATATCAAAGCGTCGACGACTTTTCGATCTGCAGCTTTGGGTAGCCAGGGCAGTTCGCGAAACAAGGCAGCATGATTCTACCTTCGACAGAAACTCGTTTCAGCTCCTGATTCTCTTGATAGAATGCAACACCGTCGTATTAACAATGATGGGAATTCATCATAGAGACAAATTTTCTACCGCATGCCACAAGACGCTCTCTCATTCCCTCGTCCTGGTGATATTTAAAGAGGAAAGGTAGACAGGGTTTGATTGGTTTGGCTCCACGAAATCTCTGAATGGTCAAAGTTCTCTTATAGCCTCACCAAATATTTCACCATCAAAGTCAAAGTAGCGGCTTTGGATCTCAAAATACTCAACATCCTGGGTTGTTGTATTTTGCAGTCCGGAGTCCTATCTGACACATCTAGGCTCATCTGTGTTGTGACAGGTCGTGAATATTGACATGTTTGGATTAAACTTCAGAGAAGGTCATATGTGATCCGGCAGCAGGTAAGGAGCGAACGAAGGCGCTAGATAGTGGATTTGTATGCAACTTGGAGATGTTTGACCAACAGCTCAGGGGCGCACGTTTCTTCGTCCATCGCAGACTTTTGATAATCTTCCAGTTCAGGAAGGGAATGATACAGAAAATCTCACTCTAACAGAACACCCTCTCTGTTATCTTGCGCCAACTGCATTTCATGTCAGCCGCGAAAGGAAGAATTATGTTCAACAAGCGTTCGATACCACCTGTGACCACATTTTACGCAAGGATAAAAAATGCTACTTCCTTCATCGGCACTCATCAAGTGTATTTCAGACCAAAGTGACCCCTTTCACATTGCATTTCTCACAGTCCATCCAAATCATCTGCGTGCTCTTGCGAAGCTAGAGGCTGTAGCTGTGATCTCTTCCTG